TTCGTTCATAACTCTGCGCCGCGCTATTTTTCTGTGCGCCTGGTAAACCACATTTGGTTTTCATATAGAATTCCTACCGCAAATGCGCGAAAATAAAATGAATGAAATTGAATTTGAATGCTTCAGTAAAATTGAAAGATCAGCAAAATTTCAATTTTACAATTTGTATCACTGAAAATCCTACCATCCCCTCGCATTTGTATGTCCACAAGCTGCTTCCTCACAACATTTGCTAAAAATCAGAAATTGAAGAATTTGTCTGATGTTCACTTCAGAAAGGAGAATTGGCAACATGACCTATTCGAGTTTAAATAATATTTATATTTTGCATATTATGCACTATTTATGGCATTAAATTAAAATTTATATCAAATGACATTCATATGAAATCATTAACTACTTCTATATATTCTAAGCACAGTCCATATAGTACTTTTATATGTTTACTTATTATCATTATTTCATAATTTGTCGATTTAGCCCATTTTATCTAAATACACGCTATGAAAATGCAGCCTAATCGGTAATCGCACTATTTCAAAAGAGCATAAGTCCATTTTCAACAGCAAAGCCCTGCAAAAGGACAAACGAGACAACATAGCCGATCGACATTGTCGTAAAAATTGTTGATTGAAACAAATTTTGTCAACTCCGCCACGATGCGCAAAATTCGGCGTCAATATGTATGCGAGCTCATATGTATATATGTATGTTTGTCGACAAAGTCGTCTTTTCGTTTTTTCAACATAATGTCCGCGCGAACTCGCCGTTATTTTCTTGGCTTGCCCCATGCACAGAGGCGTGTCAAGTGAGGGCTCATAATATATTGATATGTTGCTTAATTTGTATTGAAAAATACTGATGCATTTATGAATTATTTCGTAATATAATATATATTATATATATATAAATACACATATATTCATACCTATAATCGTTTTTTAAACTGAATTCGATAAAATAAATATATATCTGAAATAATTATGTGGCGGTGCGCCCCAATCCTCCTTGCCTGCGATCGTTCAACTCGCAAAAAGCAAAAGCGTAGACAAAGTCATTGCTTGTGCGGGCAAGAAGAAGCAAAGCATCAGCGTACGTGTATTTAAGAATGTATGTGTGATTATCACATTTGTGTAAAACGTATAATAAGGAAATATTCAATAAACCTAAACATATGAACATATTATATTTTCCTGATATTTTAATTATCTCAGGAAGAAAATATGCTATTAAAGAAATTGAATTATGATATGCTTAGACTCCAATTAATAAAATAAAAAATTAAATAAAATTCGTTTTAGGATTCGAACGTATAGGCTCGTATTCGGATTGTGCTTAACCCCTTCCCGCTTACGAACTCAGCCACCACAAAGTGGAAATGTGGCCGCTTAGCCACCGTTTTATTGTTATCCTTTGTTTAATAAGCAATTGCTCACATAACGCACATACATAAGTTAGAAAAACTAGCTATTAAATGTTTATTTTATTATGAATTCTGGGGTTTTACCGGTAATACAGATTTTTAATTCAGAAGGCTTTTCATAATTATAAATTTGTCATATCATAGAAATTGAAAACATAAATCTAAATAGGTATGCGCAACGATTTTTCATATAGGAATATTCGTTGTGTCTATTTATAGCATTTCGCATATTGTGTGGTGTATTTTTCTTTTTCGAAGTTATACTTTTCGATGTTCCCTCTTGTGGAATTACAAATTAGTACTCAAAAGTTTTCATTTAACATTTGCTCCTTCTCTACTCATCAACATTCTTGACTCATCAACATTCTCTGCTTTGTCTATTCATTAACATTCGCTGCTTAAAATTAAATGGTTGGAAACTCAGCTACAATAAATTCAAGCGACAGCGGCCTCTAATGGTCAATGTCAGCAACTGACATCCATATATACACACACAAACTGGGTTAACGGAAATTCATTTAGTCAGAGCAGAGAATGTTGATGAGTAGAGAAGGAGCAAATGCAGAGAATGTTGAAGCAGAGAATGTTGAAGAGTAGAGAAGGAGCAAATGTTAGCAGTACTAAAATGTTAATTGCTAAGAAGGAACATGAAAACGCGCAAGTTCGAAAATAAAATGTCACCACTGCTGTCAATTTACGCAACGAACTACACCCTCATAAGCAAAATGTATATACATACATATGCGCAGAGTTCTTTGATATGCGCATAAACAAAAATTGAAATAATAAAACGAAAGAAATTGACTTCTGACAGGAAAATTTAATAATCAGGAAATAATATTAAATAAAATTCAAATATCAATTCATAAAAAGGGTTATAAAAATAAAAAAGGACTATATAATATATGATTGGATTTGAACTTAGGCAAAATATTTCACGTTGCAATAAAGAAGTCTGCTATACAAGCAGCACCACAGACAACATTCAAGCTCTTGAGTCTAATCTGTGAATTCAAACAGCTATTATTGTTTACTTGCTTCAAATGTTCATATGTCCATATGTGAATATTCTTGAAATTGCCTTCTTTCATTCGCATGTCCAAATATATTTGCATATATGTACATATGTATGTCCCTCAATATGTCTTTCGCAAAAATCAAACATTCGCGCAAGTGACAAAAAAACGTAGCGCACCATCATCGGCCAATAATATTCAAGCGAACTCGCGGCTTATTTCTAAGTATTTCATATTACAACAACAACAAATTCATTCATAAGAACGTGCGCTGCTTCAAAGCAAAGTGCGTTCGTTCATAACTCTGCGCCGCGCTATTTTTCTGTGCGCCTGGTAAACCACATTTGGTTTCATATAGAATTCCTACCGCAAATGCGCGAAAATAAAAATGAATGAAACTGAATTTTGTCTTCAGTAAAATTGAAGAATCAGCAAAATTTCAATTTTACAATTTGTATCACTGAAAATCCTACCATCCCCCTCGCGTTTGTATGTTGCCCACAAGCTGCTTCCTCACAACATTTGCTAAAAATCAGAAATTGAAGAATTTGTCTGATGTTCACTTCAAAAAGGAGAATTGGCAACATGACCTCTTAGCGAGTTTAAATAATATTTATATTTTTGCATATTATGCACTATTTATGGCATTAAATTACAAAATTTATATAAAATTGACATGTATATGAAATCATTAACTACTTCTATATACTCTAAGCACACTGCATATAGTACTTTTATATATTTACTTATTATCATTATTTCATAGTTTGTCGATTTAGCCCATTTTATCCAAATACGACGCTATGAAAATGCAGCCCAATCGGTAATCGCAATATTTCAAAAGAGCATAAGTCAATTTTCAACAGCAAAGCCCTGCAAAAAGGACAAACGAGACAACATAGCCGATCGACATTGTCGTAAAATTGTTGATTGAAACAAATTTTGTCAACTCCGCCACGATGCGCAAAATTCGGCGTCAATATGTATGCGAGCTCATATGTATATATGTATGTTTGTCGACAAAATCGTCATTTGGTTACTTTCAACAACACAATGTCTGCGCGAACTCGCCGTTATTTCGTTGGCTTGCCACTATACACAGAGGCGTTCTAACTGAAGACTCTTAGTATATTATTATGTTGCTTATTTTGTATTGAAAAATACTGATGCATTTATGAATTATTTTCGTAATATAATATATATTATATATATATATAAATACACATATATTCATACCTATAATCGTTTTTAAAATAAATTCGATTAATAAAAATATATCTGAAATAATTATGTGGCAGTTCGCCCCAATCCCTCCTTGCCTGCGGTCGTTCAACTCGCAAAAAGCAAAAAGTGTTGACAAAAGTCATTGCTTGTGCGGGGCAAGAAGAAGCAAGCATCAGCGTACGTCTACTCATGAATGTATGTGTGATTATCACATTTGTGTAAATACGCATAAATAAAGGAATATGCAATAAACCCAAACATATGAACATATTTTCCTGAAATATTTTAATTATCTCAGGAAGTTAAATATGCTATTAAAGTAATTGAATTATGATATGCTTAGATTCCAATTAATAAAATAAAAATTAAATAAAATTTCAGTTTCATGAGTTTTAGGATTCGAACGTATGGGTTCGTATTCGGATTGTGCTTAACCCCTTCCCGCTTACGACCTCAGCCACCACAAAAGTGGAAATGTGGCCGCTTAGCCACCGTTTTATTGTTATCCTTTGTTTAATAAGCAATTGCTCACATAACGCACATACATAAGTTGGAAAAATAGCCTACTAAATGTTTATTTTATTATGAATTCTGGGGCTTTTACCGGTAATACAGCTTTTTAATTCAGAAGGCTTTTCATAATTACAAATTTGTCATATCATAGAAATTGAAAACAGAGATCTAAATAGGTATGCGCAACGATTTTTCATATAGGAATATTCGTTGTGTCTATTTATAGCATTTCGCACATTGCGTGGTGTATTTTTCTTTTTCGAAGTTATATTTTTCGATGTTCCCTCATCTGGAACTACAAATTAGTACTCAAAAAGTTTTCATTTAACATTTGCTCCTTCTCTATTCATTTACGTTCTCTGATTTAGTGATAAAAATGCAAATCAAACAAAGGACTTAAGCAACAAACTTGATTTAAAGCAGTGATATATTTATTTAACACAATTCAATTATCATCATATTCGACTACATATATGATGTAATTATAATTAACTCTGGCGGTACAATGGCGAGGTAGCAGCGCCGGGAGCCGATGAATAATGAAAGAATGAAAAAAAGTTGTAGTGAATTTCTTGAGTAAGCAGTATTGACTGACTGTGTACTTAGCAGAGTTCTGTCGACACGCTACATTGTTCTGTTGGAAAATTTGGCGCGCACTGAAAAGACCATTATAAAACATGACGCTAACAGAGCTTTCTTTGTACTGTAAGTAAGCAAGTAAAAGAAATGTCTGGTACCACAAAATTTACTCATCTACACACCTTATAACTTCACTCCTACACACCCTCATCTACGCAATCACTATAGAATCAAAGGAATGACAGCCACGCCGTCTACTCATCGGTCGTAATCTCAATAATCTGCCTGGCTATGCAACACCACAACGCATTTGTATGCCGGGCGCACGCGGTAGTCCTGATGAACCAAGTACGGCTGAGGTGAAGGCACCACTTGGCGAAATTGGTTTAAAAAGACCAAATGAGCCACAAGCTGCTATTGGGGCGCATAGTTTGCCTGGGCCCACCGGCAGGCATGGCCTCCTCGGTGCTCGTAGACTACTAGGTCCAATGGGTCTACCTGGCTTACCCGGATCGCAGGGAGTGCAAAATGCGCCTGGTGTTGCTATAAGTGCAACGTCCACAATATCGTTGGCTTTAACGTAGTGGTCATCTACGCGGCGTTAGAGAGAATTAATTTTAAAACATTTGTCTTTTGTAGAAATCGGATTTTCGCCGTAATCTGTATAATAAATTGTGTAAGAGAAATTTCATTCAAGAGGAAGATATTTGAAAGATAGACATAGGAGCTTCTGCATCAGCCCGTGTTTCGAGTTTGCACAGCATTGAGAAATGTTGAGAAGCTATAATGTCTAGCGTCGGAGGACCTAAGTTCAAACGCTGCTTTCAACCATTGTCAAAAATGTTAGGTCGTTCGTACGCAGATTATGAAAAGCCTACTATTGTTTCCATAAAAGAACTTCATATAAAAAAGCTATGCTAACCAACAGGAACCCGGTTATACGTTAATAAAGTGACTGGTATAATTAACCTTTGTTAACATTTGAAACCAACTTCAACACGGAACACTACATAAAAAAGGGAATCAAGTTCCTTTAAGCCAAAGTGAAGAGGATTTAGAAAAGCTTTAAAATCAATAAATTAGGATTATAAGCCACGACATTTCCGCTCGTATGATTTGAAGACAAGAATATTGCCAACAAAGGGGTGAAGTTTAACTACTTTAATCTTATATAAGGTGGTCTTCTAAAGTCCCTACTTTCGTATCGAAATCAGCCGATGCTTTTAAGTATAAAACATTGCATATATTCAACCAGACGTTAACTATCTTGATCTGTTTGGTATATACTATTATACGAAAACCAAAGAACAAATAACTCGTATAAATGACGTATAATGGCATAATTAAATAATGATAGAATCGTAAACGGCCTAACCACTCTAATATGTATTGATATACTTTCTATAATAAATTTAACTGGATAACTGCTCTTATTTGTAATTTTTTAAGTTAATAACAGAGTTCAGCAGCGAACAGAACAGTGGCGAACTCAAGATGGCTTATACACTAAAATTACATCCGACTTTCAAGTAAAAATGTAAATTCTATAATACATATGTATGTGTATGATTGCTTGCTCTTCTGCATTATCGAAGACCTCTTTGACAGCGCTGTTACCTTACCTCGAAAGACTTTCGAAAGAGTTTTACACGCAATCTTAGCAAAGCGATACTAGTTTTATGATAAAAAAAAAATTTAGTATGGCAAACTTTTCTAGTTGACGCCTGATCTATAATTTGAACTCTATAATCATTTGGATTCAATTTCATATAGATCAATTAACCAATTTTTTCAATAGCAAAACATTGTGAAAGCGTCTCCATAAAGTCGTATGCCCTTAAGCATTGTCTGTCAGCTTTTTCATTTCAACAATATCACATTAATGATGCTGTGTAAAAATACATAAACATATGCACATACACACGATAGCAGTTTTCTTTTCAGTAATCACTCAACTTTCCACCGCTCGCTTAAACCCGCTCCCCACAAAGACTTTTAACACTCTTCTCTATAACTTTCAACACGTGATTTACTTACTTATTTTTGCCTATTCCTTTTGAGGCATTACCTACGAAAAGAGCTTACAATTCCAGCATCACCTTAACACCGATCATAATCATTAATTATGCATGTCGATCTTGTCAAATGGCAACCGACATGCTACTACTGCTGTTATGCTCGCGCCTCTGTTTTGGCTACATTTTATGTTTTGTTTTCTTCCAACTTTAATATTATTTTCTTCTTTTTTTTAAGATATTTCTATTTTTCTTTTGTTTTTAATTTTTATTATTTTTTTATTTTAATTTTTTTTTGTTTTGGAAGGTTAATGCACCCTCTGTCACTAAGCGCGGAAATCAATGTGTGTCATTATGTCTCTTGGTTTGTTGAAAGGCAACAAATACATACACACAGCAGACGAAGCTAAGAAAAGGTCGTGAAGTAATAGAAATAAAAATGAAATGAAATAAGATGAATATTGAAATCGATCAATAATACCAATAAGCATTGACGTTGCTTTTAAGTGGTAAAGAAGAAAGTTCGTCGCAGTCAATCTTTTGAACTTGAAGAAAGTTGTTGAAACGCTATTAAATTAAAACAAAAAAGTTATAGCGCAATAATGTTAATGTGTAGCAAGTTATAAATAAAGGGCTAAGCACTGGCAGAAACGAACTCGCCACAATTGAGGAAGAAGTAATTAGCAATAAATAATTTTTAAAAAACCTCCTGGTTTTGAAGAAATATCGTATGCATACCGTATATTAAATATGTTTGAAGATGCTATTCCAATTGACATATCTGGGTTATTGTTCAAACGAATGAAGACAAATTAAAGTATTCTTATAAATATGGCAAAAATGGTAGCCATTTGCCGAAACCTCTATAACATGCATTATAATTATATAATGAAATTGATGTCGCTGGCAAAGCATAGTTTTTGTCAATAATCCGTTATCTGGAGAAATTGTAACTATCTCCTATAAGACAAACGTTCTAAGAGTGAGGAATCAAACAAACAACTAGTATAAATCAAAAAGCCTTGCACAAACAAATACGAGGCGTGTCCCAAAAATCTTGGTTTTTTGCAAAATATATTTATTTAACAATTATAATTTGAAATAGTCGATTTTTACAAGCTTGACCCCCCGATTCGAACAAACGGTTTATTACTACTAATTTATTAATTATTGGAAAAATAATGGTTTTATGTTTACTATAGCTTATATGTATGTGGTTGGCTTGTTTGAAGCCTTCAGATGTCCTTCTCTTTATTTCATACGAAATTTTTAAAACTGAGCACCTATAATATTAGATAAAGTGATAATAATACAGATTTAGTGATGCCACCTTTTACTTAATGCTATTTTACTGCTGTTAATAACCACTGGAAAACGTATTGTCGAGCATTCGTGGGCTCCCTCAGTATTACAGTATTTCGTTTGATTTTTTGTCCAGTGTATTCCTAAGTTCATTTCGTGAATGTATCGTATATTTTTTAAAAGAAAAACGCTAGTATTATTCAAAGTTTACGCATTATGTAAGAGTAGGTGACGTATCTACAACTGTTAGGCAACTTCTATGTGTCTATACATATTCACATATGTATATAATATATACGATATTTTTTGCCAATAATAAAATTTACTATTTCTTTCTAGGTGCAAACTTATAACTATACAAAACGTAGTGACTCAAATACAACAACACAGAGTGAACAACTAAGGTGTCAGTACCAAAAATCAATATGCCAATTTTAAATCGATTATTTAAACCGAAATACTAAAAGCAAATTTAAATAAGCCAAAAGCCGAAAATGAGAAGCGCAAATAATTTCGCTTTCTTTTGAAAACAGATTAACACAACATATAAAAAAAGAAGAAGCTTAAAAACGCAAGTCCGAAATTTCAAGATGAGCCGCGAAGCTCTGGGCCAAGCAAATCGAGCATAAAACACATTCAGCAATTTGAAAGATGCTGATCGAGAGTATTGCGAGCAGCTTTTTTTCCTGCGGCAAAAGCGAGCTGCAACGCCGCCAACACACTGCCGTTATTGTCATTGTTGAACGGCGAAATTGATTTTGATTTTTACTTTCATTTTTACATAAGCCAGCAACTGCTATTACAATTTTTCGAATATGCTATATATACACTTTGGTGTATGTATCTATGTATATGTATAACTGTGCATGTGGTTATATATCCGTTAAATATCCAAACATGGCTGGGTATATAAAAGACGACGACGTTGCGCTGAATTCGCTCATAAAGATCGCGCAAACTGCAGACTGAGAAAGTAAAATACGAAATGGGTGTCCGTGTCTTCAACTGTTGTGCCGGTGGGTTAAACTTAATTAACGGCAAATAATAACAAAAAAACATTTAGAGTTTCGATTAAAATTTTGTAACTTTTCAACAAACAATTTTGTCACTTTCAGTTTTATTAGCGGTATTTTACGTGTGCTTCGGCGCCATTAACGCCGCCACCATAAATGGTGGTCCTCGCAGCGCAATCGCAGCTGCCTTGACGCCAGCCAACGTAAATGTGCACGCGCTGCGCATGGCGCGACAAGCTTACTCTGATGAAGATGACTCTGAGGAGGAAGATGATGTGCAGGCACAAAATTTCGCACAACAGCAGCAACAAAAAATACCTGATGATTCGCAAGAAGACAGCGATGAGGATGATGCCGACGATGATGGTGACGATGATAGCAGACGTCGGCGTCGTCGCGACACACAGACCGTAGAGGCTGTGCAATCAGAGTCACCAATGCAGGAGGAAACCGTAGCAGTACCGGAACCTTTGCCAGCGCCGGCCACAAACGGACCGACCGATACACTCGACAAGGAACCCGAACACAGCGTTGAGGCTAATGCACCTCCCGTGGCGACTGCGCCCAATGCGCCCAATGCGCCCTCACGCAACACTTCTGTACTCATACTCATACGCGATGCGCTGAAAAAAGTCACCACATTGCCCACCGAGCAAGTGGCCACCAATGCGCTGCAGTACTTCCAGCTCTTCGAGCATTTCATACAACAGACCATCGAAAATGTAATTGGCGATGATGATGATGATGAGGATGAGACAGCTGGTGTTGCGGCAACTACTATCAAGCCGAATGGTATTTTCACGCCTGAGGAAGAAGAGATTATTGCCGGTGTTGAGGAGATTCTAAAGGGGCCCGAATTGGTCAACAAGCAACCAACACAGGAACCAAAACCAGCGGATACACCAGTGGAAGTTGAAAACGTAATGGGTGAAACGAAACCAGTTCCAATTCCGGACTTGTTAATGGAAGAAAAACCAGCAACGGCTGCGGTACAAGCTGCGAGCGCGGCTTAATTGGCGCCGTTTAATTGGTATTCTATAAAGATGTAGTTGTATGTATTTATTTATTTATTGCATAGTTGTTTAGGAAAATAATAAAGAAGTTGTTCATCAAATTAGACGTTTTTACCAATATGGGTAGTCCTCCAATTCCTTAATTCAAATTGGTTATCAAATAGTGTTATTGTTCAAATGAAATCCTGCTGGCGTCGAAGAATTTAAACTAGAAGGTTTTAAGAAAAAAAATTGCAACCCAACTAGTTTTGTTCACGCACATAACCTTCACGACTATGACAATCTAAATATTCTAAAACTCTTATTGTTGTTACAACAACAACAAAAAACAACTTAAAATATCAAAAGGCACATTGGGATTCAGGCTGACTTTAAAAATATATATACATATATGTATGTATCAACTCGAAGAAGTGTCATAAAGCTATTAAAACTTCCTTCACGAAAGTTATTAACCACAGAGAAGAAGTTTTATTTCTTTAAATTTCTACATTATTGGCGAACATGAGTTCATTCTACAATTTATAGATAATTTTCTTTGAATACTATTGAAAAATTCCTATCTGTCGAGGCATTTGTTGATTTCAAGTTCCTCAAAATATTTCTGAGCTTTTAATGGAACTTATAAAGAGTAACGGAGTTACCACTTTCATTTAGTTACAGTAAGTGCTGGGTTTAGGTAAATGCTTCTCATTTCTTGACTCCAAAGAGGCCACCGGAAGATTAACGTCGGAACAAGCGTTTTAAATACAATACTTAGCAAGTTGTACAATACTTCATTAGACTTTGTGGTATATATATCCTATCAGTGCATGAATTCTTCTCAAATTTTCGAATAGAATGAATTATTAAGCCCATTTACTGCTAAGCTCCACGTAAAAAAAAACTGACTGTACTAGCCCTTCGATATTTTGGGTTCTTGGAAATATGTTTCATAGTAGACATAAATATGTGATTGATAGCGTATAATTTTACCTATATATATAGGTCGAACCTCTGGAGAAGCAGCTAAACAATTTATGCAGGGTAGAGACAAATTTTTCTGATTTTCACCAAGTCTAAATGAATATTTTGGGTTCTTTGAAATTCTCTTCACGCTAGATAAAAATATGGCGAAGCTCTCAAAAATCACCTAAACAATTTATGACAAGCCCACAAAGAATTTTTCTGAGTACCCAAAAGCGAACACTAACTGCTTTTGTTCAAATTTCCACCACACGCCAAAACTTCGAAAAGAATCTTTGAGCCTCTTTCAACGTCAAAGTAATACGTCTGTGTTAAAAAGCGATGAATAATATGAACAGCTTCACTTGTTTGTGATACTAATTTGGCTTTTGAGAAGAGAGATTAATGTGTTTTCTTCAAACCAAGTAATAAGTATCTAAATATCTAACCGAGACGGAATCTTACGATATTAATAAAGGTTTTTTCTGGACGAATTTCGGAAAATAACCTCTAATTTTCAAATTTTTTGACAGTGAACGAGTTCTTATAAAAATTGATCATCTAAAAAAATTCGATTGTTCTAAACCTGTACATTTGTCCGATGATATCTAGGAACGCACCACCAAACAGAGAAGAAATACCTAGATTGAGCCTTTTGTGGTTTTAGTCTTGACTAAGCGCTTCTAAATTTTATTCTATTTTATTCTACAATATAACTTTTTATGAGAGCACAATTGCTGGACCCAATGGAGATCGATGGCACCAATTATTGTAATATAGTACTGAAGAAAATTTTAGTGCAATACTGCAGCTTAAACGGAAATCGGAAAAGAAGCGTGAATGGTTTATTATTTGTAAAGAATATCAAAACTCATCTATAAAATGTACAGGAAAACAAGCAACATTTTCAAAATATGCACAATTTCTCTAGCTACTTAGAAGCAAAAGTTTTTCGGTTTCCAGTCGAGACAATGCAACCGCTGCACACTTTCACTTTCCTAAACAAAAAACCGAGAAAGAAATCATATCGAGCGGGGAGTCAAAAACAAGTTCTATGCAGCTAGTAAAATGTAAATTCGGTGGCATTTAAACCCATAGTTACATCATTCATCAATGGGTGTATAAAAAGACAATGATGACACTTAAGTGGCGGCAAACGTTAAGTGGAAGACAAGCCGAGGAAATGCAATTCTGGAAAGCAACGACAGCAAGCTGCTTTTGTTTGGGTTGGAACAGTGAAAATATTAGAGCAAGCTTTACCTTTTCACACTTCAAACGCCGCCAGTGTTGGACACCTAGTCACAAATACTCGTATACACCAGTCGCAAAAGCATGTGGACACTCATTCTGGTGAAGTAACTAGTCGTGGCGCAAGCTATAACCAAGCCGATTATGATTATGATGAGAAGAAAATGAGGATGAAGAAGCAGAAGAGTAGGTGGAAGCGGCTTTAAGTGGTGCCACAAAGTTCGGGGGCGCAAATGTGGAAGCGGAGGATGAAAATAATGGCAACGATGATGATGAAGATAATGGTGATGAGAAGGGGCGTGCAGTGAAAAGAAAATATTTAATAGAAAAGTTAATGCGAATAAAAATGTATCAGGAAAACTTTATTTCAAATAATAAAGCTACTTTTCTTTTCACGAAAACAATTTGAAAGAAAAAACTTGTAAAACCTGAACTGGGGAAACGAATTATTTCTATACTCTTGCTACAGAGTATAATAAGTTTACACACCAAACGGTTATTTGTATCATTTTTAATGTACATATCTCCTAAACTATTTAAGCTATAATAACCAAACTTGCTCAGGGCAGATCTTTTTGACATCCTTGCCCACCCTGTGAAAAAGATGAATTCACTTTTGAATTCGGTTTTGTTAAAAACTACTTAAAGTGCGATAAAGCTATAACTAAATGCGCCTGAGACATAAAATTTTACACCCGAGATGGTACGAGATGGCTTTGTAGTAGCCGGTTTGACGCATTTGGATGAAAATTCATATCCAGGGATCTACTGCACCGATTTCAACCACACTCGGTAGGTAATATTGTCCTAACATTCCTACATTACATTGCAAAAATGGGCAAAATTAGACAGAAACCACCCCTACTTCCCATATGACACCATTTTAAATTCGATCTGATTCTTTAACTTTCCATAGAAAAAATTAAGAGCCAATCAATGTGTCCAGATAAAACTTTGCAAAAATAGTGCATTTGACTTGTGCCACCTTATGACCGAATAGAGTTAGAAATGAGTCTTGGGACAGATATTCCGCCATGTTCGGCTGAATGCCGTGGACCCAAAAAGGCTCTGGATTTTCATCTTAGTCATACAAGAGACTGTTCTCGCAAGACTTGGAAGATAATTTTCTCTCATAGTATTGTAGTTTTGTATTCTCTCAAAATTTGCGGAGCATTAAGGGATACAGAGATGTTTGTATTGATGACCAAGGCTGTTTTTTAAGGCAAACAATTTCGCAATAAGCAAGAGTTTATATATCTCAATTAATAATAATGTGGAGTCTTCATAACCTCTTGCATTCAGAAAAAGCTGCTATGATTGGGAATTTTGTTAGAAAACTAAATTTAATGCCAACATTGCCGTCAATATTGTGCGCTTTGTTCAAACTATTCGGAATTTCTTTGTTCTCCGGGTTCAACATTCGTCGCATGCAATACAAGGAATAGTAAAGACTATCTAACAAAATGTTGCTAGGTAAAAGGCGAACCTTGATTCGACCTCAAATTTAATTCCATATTTGAATGTTAATTGATTACACACAACAGTGTTACGTAGACGGTGTTCTCTGCTTGCGGAGCAACAGTTTCGTCGCGGTTTCTCATAAATCTTCCCTTATGACTTGTCTTATGTCTTCATCAGCTTCATAACCTTATTGAGAAAGGTTTTTTCACACAGAAACGCCTAAAAACTGATAGAATTCGGTATATAATGCTTAACGGTTGATTTGGTACATAATGTTCCTACAACAACATGAAGATTTGCTCTCTTTCGTGAGAAATAAAATGAGTATCAACAAATTATATACATTTATTTTATTTCTTCTCTATGGCAACTTATTGTATAGCGATGTTGGAGAGACTTCTCTCTTTAAAGCACCATTTAAACCGATACGATTTGCTTTAAATGGAATCTGTTGACCACCAATCGATAGTGTTAATGGCAGACCCGCCGATGAATTCACATATATGGGTATGGTTATATAAATAGGATTTCCGCTGTCTACGGTAAGAGGCTTAGTTTTGTGTGGTGTTAACTAGGAGGAAAAGATATAAAAATGTAAAATTTAATTAATGATAGTGGCCTGATCATGCCAAATAATATTCTATAAATATATTATCGATATAATTAAATGATTACAAGACGATAACTTTATGTTGCGATAATGATTACTTTGCATTACTGTAATGATTAATTTATGTTGCTACCACACTCACCACAGCATTATCAGCTACACTTTGTGTATTCTCCGCGATAGCTGCAATGTTATTAATTAATTCACCGTTATTCGCATGCTCCGCTGCTTCTTTTTTGTTCATTACATTTTGCATGGTTTCTTTTTCTTCTTCACCATCCAATTTATCCTCCTCAGCGGACACAATTTCCTTAGCACGTTTACGCGAAACTAACGGTACTTCCTTATATTCATAATCTCCAATTCGTTCAGCGTTGGGCATTACATGTAATTGTGTTGCAACAACAGTTTCTTCTGGCACCAGTGACTGAACAGCGGGGTCAAGCGTAATCAAGTGTCGATAAGGTAGTGCACTGGCGAGCGCCACAAATGCGTTGAATAGAAAAAATGCTACAAAGAGTTTACACTTTTCATTAGAATGTTCACCCAAAAGTTCAAAATTTATAAAAAATTTAAAATCCATAAAGTATTATTTTGAATAAACGCCTACCTAATAATTTGGTGCTGGACTGCTTCATCTTTACGCTTTGTAAATAAAACTAAATTTCTTCTCGAATGTTTTCGCCTTTTTATAGAAATAGCGCAGATCTGTAAATGTGCCAACTCTCGCAAGATTAGGTGTGGTAAAATTTTGAAAACATAAATAAATAAAAAATAGTAGTAAACAACAAGAAACCCTATGATATGCTGCGTTGAAAATGAAAGCAACAAAAAAGAATAATAACAAGTAAGGAAGGGCTAAGTTCGGATGTAACCGAACATTTTATACTCTCGCAAAGTCAAATGGTATACTCGTTTGAGATTTCTTTGTGTATTGACTGATATTTTCGGTAGAAGGTCAACTATAGGCACTGGGGTCCACATATTTAGTACTTAGGGGTTTGAACAGTTTTGGTTCGATTTAGACAATTTTTGGCCGCAAGATGGCATATTTTAATTGCATTATTCACGCAAAGTTTTACGCCGATATAATCATTGTTGCTTGATTTGCATAGTGGAAAGTGAAAGAATCAAGTGGTATTTAAAATGGTGTCATATGGAAAATAGGCGTGGTTGTAATCCGATTTCGCCCATTTTCGCACTATACCATAGAAACATGAAAAGAACGTTATGCACCGAATTTGGTTAAAATCGGTTGAGCAGATCTCAAGATATGGGTTTTCACCTAAAAGTGGGCTGTCCACTGACTAATTTTGAACGCGGTTCCTATAAAGTCATCTTATACCATCTCAGAGATAAAATTTAATGTCTCTGGCGTGTTTAGTGCTTGATTTATCGCGCTTTTAGTAGTTTTTAACAGTACCGTTATATGGGGAGTGGGCGGAGTTGCCACCCGATTTCAACTATTTTCACACCGTCAATAGAAGTGCTAAAAACATTTGCTTCCAGTGAATTTTGTTATTATAGCATTAGCGGTTTAGGAGATATGCACATTAAACCTATTAGAGGCGGGACCACGCCCACTTTTAAAAAAAAAATTTTAACTGCAGATGCCCCTCCCTAATGTGATCCTGTGTACCAAATAACAGTCTTGTATCTTATTGCGGAGCTTAGTTATGGCAAGTTATTTGTTTTTGATTAATGGCGTTTTGTGGGCGTGGCAGTGGTCCGATTACGCTCATCTGCAATATCAATCGTCTCACGGTACCATGAAACATGTCTACCAAGTTTCATAAAGATATCTCAATTTTTACTCAAGTTAGAGCTTGCACGGACGGACGGACAGACGGACGGACGGACAGACAGTCACCCGGATTTCAACTCGTCTCTTCATCCTGATCATTTATATATATATAACCCTATATCTAACTCGATTAGTTTTGGGTGATACAAACAACCGTTAGGTGAACAAAACTATTATACTCTGTAGCAACAGGTTGCGAGAGTATAAAAAACGCGCAAACCCGTTAGAATCTATTAATCTGATGTGGAAACTTTCTATAAATAAAAGCAGTGCCGGCAAAAATAATGATTATTTTAAAGTTCGAAAATATATTTATATATTATACTCTTTACTTTGTGCTTCTCCGCATATTATTTCGCATGATACCACTTTAGGATTGATTTAAAACTCTGTTCTACTAAATGTTAGTCACGAGCTAAATACAGTCGCCAGCTTTGTAACCAGAACACATTAAATCTCTTCCATTACCGACCGAGCCATTAAATATGTGAGAAAGCAATTTGAATAAAAAGAAGAAAAACTTTAACATAAGCTAAGCCCTTCACAAATATAAAAGTTTTCCATACAAGGACTTGATTTTGATCGATCAGTTTGTATGGCAGCCATGTGCTATCCCATCTGGACAATTTGTTCGCAGATACGACCTAGATACGACCTGATTACTCGGGAAACATATTGTTTATTTTAATGTCCGCAAGTTACATTCGCCATGCTAAGCAAAATATCGGAAAGATTAGGAAAGTATTAATATCCATCATTTTTTTTCATACCGAGCTCTAAAACCTTTATACTGCTGACAGCAGACTAAACTCACAGTTCCCACGAAGTAATACTTAATCAGGTGGTTCCGTGGGAGAGTCTTGAGTTGGGAGTAGGTTAGGTTTAGCGGATTAAAGTTCCGCACTTCGGCTTTCGATGCTTCCCCCTACTTAAAAAAAAAAAAAAAAAAAAAAAAAAAAAAAACAGTTCAGCCATGAACTACAAGGGACTATCACTAACGAGTCAATCGCTACTTATCATAGGCCGAAATTCACAGAAGAGTACTTTAGTGCAACTAAACAGATTGGAAATACCATATAATCTTCTAAGCATACCCCAAAACTTGTATTCCCATCTTAAACTTTATACAGGCAGGGCCCGATCTAAGGGGGGCAGCCGGGCAGAGCGGCAAAAACTGAGCGTCGGCAAAATTTACTTATTCCTATCTTTCAACTTTTTGTTCGATATTTTTTAGGTATCGATACTTTTAACAAAAGTTAAGTCACATCATTAGATTTGGGTCGTAGAGGATTACCCCTCTATATAGACAATAGCATATGTTTAGAGCGTGTGTTGCCAGTTTCTCGTGATTGGTACCTTTTTTTCCCATTAAGTAGATTTGTTTTTATCAATTAAGTAAAAAATTGATGCAGCCATAAACTCTTTAGAATTAAGTTTTTCCCAGATTACTAAGCACAGTAAACATTTTACTTTTTTGTATATCATATATGCCTTAAGAGAACTTCCAAAAGATGAATTGTTAGAACATTGTAAGAATCTCGAGGCTGTTTTAACTCATGAGAACACAAGCGATATAAAAGCATTAGAACTTTGTGAGAAGTGGTCAGCCCTTTGTATGTTTTTAAATAGTAATTTGTCTCCTCAAGATGTTTTAAAATTTGTAACAGACTTAAGATTTGGTCCAAATATCAGTATTGCGCTCAGGATTAACTTAAACTTTACCATTAACAGTTGCAAGTGGTGAAAGAGGCTTTTCTAAATTAAAAATAATAAAAAATTACCTGCGATTCACCATGACACAGAATAGATTATCTAGATCGGCTATGATTTCAATAGAACACAAGATTTGCGACAGTATAAATTTATCAGTTGTTATTAATTATTTTGCAGAACAAAAAGTGCGAAGAAAATTACTATAATTACGAGATAGAATTAAATATTCTGAGAAAAACTGTTTAATTTTTGGTTTCATTATTTTAAAAAATAACTGATTTGTTTTGTAGTAACATAATTGTTTTTTAATCAGTAATAAATTTTAAAACAAATCTTTTGTTGTGTCTTTTTTATACGAATTGTAAGAACCTTAACTTAAAATATATGAACCGATTGACCATAATAAACAATTAAACAGCTTGGTCCTAATATTTTTAACTTCTGAAATGATTTTGATGAAAATTTTTTATTGTTCCTTTAGTTAAAGCCCGAAACAGTTAAAAACAGCACGAGGGAAAGGAGGCGCAGCAGTGAGTCGCAATGGGTTGATGATGATGATAAAGTTGAAAGGTACATAACTATGTCGATAAAAATTATATAAATTTCTGTGAAATTCCTTATAAAGACATACATTGTATACTTGCTAACATAAAAACACACACCAACTTTCGTATAGGTATTTCTTCAGAAGGCCCAATAGACTGACGTGAATATTATAGAAAGGTTAAATCCAAAAAATATCACGTATTTTATGTAAGTACTTGTATACTTACCATCCCCCAACAAAACTAGCTAATGACTTACAGCTTTGTGTATGTAAAGGGCGGCGAAAATGATCTTCGCCCGGAGCGGCTAAATAGCTAGTTTGGGCCCTGTATACAGGTACGCTAGTCTTCCCATAACAAATCATAGATACAAAGTAACTGAATTTTTACAGATATACTGTGCTCTCCTGAAGACTTTCTAAAAAAAAAATATTTTTATTAATTTAGAAAAGGCTTCAAATACAAAAACTTTTCTTCCTTCATTTAAAGAAAATTTTCATTTAAATTAAAAAAATTTCAACATTTTAACAAAAAACAATTAGTTTTAACCCTTATTGTAGTAATTGGATGGCCCTTTATTGTTGTAGTTCGGTGGACCTTTATTATTTTGTTGTTGCTGTGCCAGCAGTAGAGGATACGCATAAGCTGCTTGATAGGCATTACAGTCCTGGCAAACTCCAGGCTGGCCAGGAGGACCGTGTGCACCAGGTTGGCCAGGTGTACCAATAGCACCAGGTTCACCAGGTCTACCAGGCAAGCCATCCACACAACGACCTTCAGGACCTTGTGTACCAGGTAAACCCATTGGTCCGGGGAGACCAATACCATCTTCGCCGCGATCACCTTTTTGTCCCTCCGGACCTTGCGGACCAGTCTCACCTTGTGGTCCCTGCATACCTGGCAGCCCAGGATAACCGCGTTCACCCGGCGGTCCTGGAACTCCAGGATCACCTAAATAAATATCAAAAGTAGCAACTAGTTTTGTTAATATGTGAAATGTAACATACCTTGTGCGCCTGGGTGTCCTGGTGGTCCGGGGCGACCGTAACCACGTCGACCAGGTGGACCAGGGGGGCCAGTTATTGTTGTTGAAATTTCACTTATGTAGTCTTATGACCAATTGATTAATATATAATAATTACAATATAAATAGTTCTTTTTGTTACCTCTTACAACAGCCAAACAAATCTCACGTATTTCGCGTTCTTCTATATTTCGCACTTCATTATTTGTTGTGCCAGACTCACCGGGAGGTCCAGGTAGTCCTGATGGTCCTGCTATACCCGGAAAACCTGGTTCTCCCTTTTGACCTACTAGTCCTGGCAACCCGTCAAAACCACGTTCTCCTTTTTGGCCATTTAAGCCCGGTAAACCACTATCACCTTTAGGCCCGGGCAGGCCTACAGTCATATTACGTATATCTTCTGTATTACGTACGTCCGCTGTAATAATTCCAGGTAGACCTGGTGGTCCAGTTAAGCCGGGTTCGCCTTTTGCACCTGGTAAACCATCCAAACCACGTTCTCCGTCTTGGCCGGGTATGCCAGGCAAGCCAATATCACCTGGTTCACCTTTTTCTCCTATATTAGGACGACCATCTTGCTGATTGGCATACGAATATGACTGCCCCGGTGCACCCACTCGACCCTTTTACAAATAAATTAAGGTCAATTCCATACAATGTAATATTATTAGCTCACCGGCGGTCCTTGTGGGCCTGGCTGTCCAGGTGGCCCTCTTGGACACACTTCAGGGCATGCATGCAACTCCTGCCCTTGCAACGCAACTGGAGTAGAAGTCAAAAGTGCCGGTCGGTAAGTGGTAGTAGTTAGAAATGTCAAATCTGGGCGCTGTGGTATTGGCGACGGCACTACAGTTGCACGCGGCGTGGTATATGACTCCTGTGCCGAAACTCCCTTAGGGGCCTTTGCATATTGCGGAAGATCTTCACACGTGGCACGATTAGGTTTATCAACATCACAACTAAAGATCATCCATTGCAAGTCAATCTATAAAGGAACATGTTCAATAAGTCTCCTGGACATTTTTACCATTTACTTACAGGAACTGTGCTTTTAGTTTTGCAGTCACGTGCCACAGTAAAAGCACCCTCAGTCGAATCAATTGGACTACGCACATCAAGTGGGGTATGCAAACTGCCACTACGATCCGGTACGGGTTTGCAATCGACCCAAAGGCGTACAGCATCCTCTGTAACTCCAAGCATAACTTTGTGCCATGAATGATCGAATATCTGCATTAAGTATAGGAATATAATTAACAACAATGATCATAATTTTCTTGCAAGTATTTACTTCCAGCTCCTCATACGTAACTGTCTGCAAAGTACCATCATATTTGGGTAATGAAAATTCCAGCGCATTATAAAGCGGATTCATGATGATGCTCATCTGTGACTCGTATCTATAATTTGAGATTTCGAAAAGAAACCACTCATTTGGTGGATCGAATTCCGGTACACGAAATGTGCATTCAAATGAGAAGGCGTCGGGTACACCTTTAGGAAATGCCTGCGACGACTCGATCGTCATATTGGAGTACTCTTCAAAGTGATACGCGGTTTGGTATCCAGTCGAACCGACAATTTGTTGAACGCCTTGGTATTGATGATGCGCCTCATCGAAGCGATAAGAAGAGATGATATCATAATTGGTAAGGTCCGGATCACCAGCTCGTTGTATGCTGCAAGGGCTCACCGGCACAAAGTCATCATCATCAAACTGCTCATAAGTGTCCAAGTCTATGTTTTCTCATAAAGAATAGAGAAAAAATGCATATTTATAAATATAGCTTTAATTATAAAAATAGCTTAGAAAGCAATTAGCATGAGATCCCATGAGTTTAGGCCAAAACAAATCTTACTGTAGGTATTTTACTATATAAGGTCTAGTAAACAGAAATCCATTATTTTTTCTTGAATTTTATTCAGCATAGTTAAAATGATCCGATTTATGTTAATCAAATATCTATGCACCCTGGTTCCGTACTACATAAAAACCAGCCAACCAAGCTTCCGGAACTTCTAGCGAGTAACTATCGATATCACATAGCAACATCTATTAAACTGTCAATACTGACATCGCCACCAATTGCGCCGGCTCACCGCGATTTGACCACAACCGTTTGCGATTTACGTAGATATAAGTGACCCACTCATTTCATCAACAGTCACCATTCGCTTCAGATATGGATGGAATTTGTTGCGATTCAGCAGCGATTGAAATTCGAACTATGAGGTTTTTTGCATTAACTGGTGTGACACCTATACAACGGGCTTTTAGTTGTATCCAGCCTTATTAAAATGGTTTAAATCAGTGTTTAATGCAATGTTTAACTACTGGGCAATAGAAACAATGTTTACATAATAGTGGCACTCAACGAATTAAATTTTTTGTCGCTATTTTCGACAATTGACCTTCCAGAGCATGATCGTTGATCTAATATTAGTGGTATGATCATGAAATATCCTTTATTTATATTACATCATAAATCTTCCTATTCTAAGGATTTATTTATGATAAAATAATAATTTAACTAACAGTCTAATTAACTTTCTTTGACGCCAAATAACTAATTTACTGATTTACTTTTTAATTATAGAAAAGAAGTAAGGCAAAATATAAAAATATGTAAGTCGGAAATCGGCGTTATAGTGGATCTCTAAAAACAAAATATACCTATAATAAAAACACGTTAAATTCATTGCATATAAAAAAGTCTACTTAAACTTCCTTGCTTCTTTATTCCGCAGTTTGGTCCTTCTTACTCGTTGTCTTTTTTATTGCTTTCACGACATAAGTTGACCGAATTATAATTTGTTAGGCGTTAACAATTCAAATTGAAGTTTAATCTACAACATCCAATTTCTTTTACAATACTTTTCTATATTTAGTGCGCTTTCTACTTGCATTTCATATTTGTCTATTTTGACTTATACACTTTATTAATGTGAGCGCGCGCTATGTGCTCTTCCTCTGACTGAGGAAATAGTGTCAACAGCGGAGGTTATCAGCAATTGTGTGCACTAATTTTAATTTAGCCGTATGTTAGCGGCTTGGTGGACTACATAATATGATATTTCTTGGAGCAAATTGCGAGATATTTATTTGAAATTAGCAGTTAAGTAATATCTGTCGTAGTTATTTTCCTACTTTTTATAGAAATGTTGCTGTTTTCCATCGTTATTGTTGTTTTTTATTTGTTAATTGGGCATTTTTAATGGGACTTAATTTATGAATATATGATATTTTATTCAATTTCTATTTATTTTGAAAAAATATAAATAACAAATTTTTAATTTTTATTTTATTTAATGTTATTTATAATACAATATTTTATTTAATTTTTTATTAGTTCCATTTAATTTTATATTATTTTCACACTCTTTTTTATATTACTCAAATTAATTTGTCGCATTCATTTAATTTAAGTTTATTAATATTAATTGTCTGTTATTTCATTCCAATTCATTTTGTTTCATTATTTTATTACATAACATATTTTATTTTCTTTTGTTTTTTTTTTCTTTTTTGTATTTTCACATAATATTTTTTAACAGTAATTTATGTAGAGTGTTTATTTAATTGTGCTTTAAATTATTTTCATTTGTTTTATTTCATTTTACTTAACTTTATTGTATTTAAATTGTTTCCAATAATTTAATTTAATATTAAAATTTTATACATATATTATTTTAAATTTATTTTATTTTATTTCGTTTTATAATATAATTTATTATATTTTATTTGTATTTTAATTTTTGTTTTTCATTTTATAATATTTCCGTATTAGTTGTGCATATCATATTTGAAATAATTTATTTTTTACGTTAATTTAATTCTATATATTTTTTATTTAATAAATTTTTATTGATAAATATTATCATATTTTATTTCAGGTATAATTTATAATGTATATATAATTTTAGGTTTTAATCAAATTATTATTTTTTTTAATTACTTTTTTTCCATTAAACAATTGTTTTTTTTTTTACTTTTTAAATAAATTTCAAGAATTTTTTTATTAGTAATTGAATGTTTTGTCTATTATTTTTCCGTAACAGTGATTTAATTTATTAATAACTTTGTATATAACTAATTACAATATTTTATTAATTTAATTTTATATATAATATTATATTATATATAATACATGCTTTATTTGATATATGAAATTTAATAAAATTTAAAAACACATTTCCTTAATATGTTCATATTTCTAATCAAAAAAGTTCTCTCCAAAAATTTCAACACCGATACACACCACTTTGACGCTTTGACACAGCAGCTAGATTAGGCAGAGGTCCCAAAATGAGCATAACTGCCAATATTTTGGAGAATAACTTCATTGTTTGTTAATTTTTTTTCACAAAATTATTTATAAAAACACTATTTTAATCAAAGCCTTTGCATTTTAAGTATAATTATTTCACACTTTTTTCTTCTAGTCAAGCCAAAGCTCCTTGGTCAGCGAAGACCGCCACGCAACTAAATAATGGACTACTTGAGTTATCTCAGGCAACCATGCCCAACGAACTACTCCCGAAACATAGACTCATACATACACTTATGAGAAATGTATAAGTTTATATTGTATTTCCCTAATCTACTCAGTTGTTACATTAACGAGATATATTTATGAATGATGCTCTTTTTGTTTTAATATTCTTATTTCATATGCATTTGCCATCTACTTGTATGTCTAATTTATATGCCCCATCTTATCGCTCCTCAGTTTTGTGTTGCCAATGGGAACAAGATTTTCATTTTAATCGATCTAACAGTTGATCCATTAGAACTTATGGGTAGCATATGTTTATCATTTAGTGTTGCTAGAAGTATGATCTGTTCACGACTCTACTCTCTTAGTGAGATAATGAAGCAATTCTTTGTATGTCCGATGTTTGTTTGTTTGACAATTTTTATACCTTTTTGTAATTTCGAAATATAATATTATTCCTCACATGAGTTTGCACCTACAGTGGCACATGAAAATTATAGTATCGTAAATGAAATTACTGTGATCTAATCGACTTTGGTTAAAAATAAAAATATATTAACCTTATTTCTTACATAATATATATATACAATATATTAGAATCCAGTACCGATTTAAAGAAAATAGCATAATATTTCATACTACAGAAGTATGATGTGGACAATGCAAAATCTTAAGGTATTAGAGTTTTTGCTGAAAACACTAGAACACTTCCTAGTAAAAGACCTTGGGTGGAATTGATACTTACGATTTCTCCTCCTTTAGACGATTTGTATTCAATAGTAATTGCTTTACCAAAAGAATACAATAACTATTGCATGAACGTACCATAAATATCATCAGATACTGTACGCTATAATGTATGGTATAGTCATAGGCAGAATCAATCGAAAAATTATGATTTTTGTTTTCAGTAATGACCTTGACCAAAAAAATTATTAAAGCTGTGCAAAACATAAATATTGTTAACATATAATATTGAAAGGTCATCAATTGAGGGTTTTAGAAATAATTAGAAATAGCTCGGTTAGACAAAAAAACCATTTCGTTTTTTTTTTACTTATTTAGGTTAATAATTTATTCGAGACTCAATGTTAAGAATTCAAAAAAACTTTTTGTGTTTTATTTAGAGCGATTTGTTGTTGTGGAAATAAATTAAATAGGTTAAGTTGGCTTAATTCACAATTCTGACTATTTGAATTATCCTGTACAACCAGTTCGAGACTCGACGCTGTGCTTTCTCTTAAACAATAATATTTTCGTTTAGCATAAGCGAGAGATTTAAGTAGTTCTGACAATCAAGCTAAACAGCTTGCATAAGACTCGACACTGCTCAATCTTAAAAACCAACTTCGAATCAGAAGCCGCAAGCTAAAATAATAGATGTCAGGTAAAATCAAAATATAGATAAAGTGGATTTAAATTTTATCAAGCATCTTAGAAAGTCTTTCTGCTTTCTTATTAAAATTATCGAAACGTTAATTTGACCACTTTCAACTGCAAAGTGATCTAGAGATATTAGGACGACTTTTAACCAATGCAAAGTATCATAGTGTGTCAAATTAGCCATCGGATTTTTTTTAACTCTGCTATCGGAGTTGATTGTAGCTGTTGAATGTTCTAACTTTTTAAATAGTTTTCCCTACGCGATCCTCTGTCAAGAACCATTAAGAAGCCCGTATATTGTATTGAAACCGCAAAACTAATCGTCCCAGTAATTTAGGTATTACTACTTGCAATGGAATTGTGTCCATAAATTTAGGAAGATTAACTAATTTAACTAACCACCGATGGCATCTGCTCAAAAATCAAAAACATGTATTCGACCCATGAAAATACTAAAAAAGAATAGAAACACAAAATATGCAAAATGGCAGGTGGAGCGGTGTAATAGTTAGACTAACTAAAAAAATATGTTCTGGCATCAATCGCTTGTCTGGAGGCAATGGAAAAATTTTGATTGCATTTCTGACACGAAAAGCTTGTCTTAGATTAAGACTTGTAGAACTCTCCATTTCTCGGTTAACTTTCAACTAAAAATATACCACAAATTGACAGAGAAACTCGGGAAAGTTTCAGTGGAAGCGTAGTAGAAAGTATATAAGAAGTATGAGCTGGAGTCTTCTGTCGGGAGCTCTCCACTAACTCTAGTTTCAGACCACAAGATTACCGTAGCATTTTCAATCGGAATTGTCTGCTATCAAGGAAGCAGTAGATGTACTGCTCCGAAGTGCAGCTTCCTTCAGAGAGGTGTGCATTCACTCCAAAAGCCGAGCGGCTATTCTAGCTTTGACCTCGTTGACTGTGATCTCAAAGCTAGTCAAGGAGTGCATGATCTCACTAGCTGTAGCAGCAAGATTCTTCCATATTGTATAGGTACTCGGTCACAGCGGAATCGCCGGAAACTGCAAAGCCGATGAACTTGCTAGTAAGGGCTACCGTTTCCCTTATTTCATCCGATTTTGAAGCTAGTAAATTTTTCGTTGTCTTCTGGCGTTCTAGAACCTTTGGACCTCTAGTAAGCTCAGCAAGCACTGGTCAACAACCAGAACATGTGCAACTACGAGATCCTTCGGGTTCAGAGCGAACCGTAAGCGGTCCACCAAATTACTTGCTCTTAGCAAAGTCAATCTCGCCACAATGGTATGTGTTCTGACACGACAGTGTTCAATAGGTTCACACGGTGCGGCTATATTTTTTCGGACGCTCTTTGCCAAAGCTGTTTAGAAGAAGGCGAAGTGAAATCATCTTGTCAGTTTTTCCTCTATTGCCCGGCTTTTGCCAGACTAAGATTGAAATGTTTCGGTAGACACGACTTTGGTGAAACTAACAAAGTTGCTGTGATTGATATTAACCGCCTTAATAAATTTGTGGTAAGCTCAAAACGCTTCGTCGATCAGTGAAGATCTGATGATCCACTTTTTTGAGTTTATGAGTAACAAAAAGTACAAATATCTGTCCAGAGAGATCCATCAATTTTGGATCAACCCTACGACCTAACCTAACATCACAGATGAGCCGTATAGAACACTGTTGAGTTAATCAAAGAACGCTGTTGAGTTAATCAAAGAATTTAGTAAACATTTGATGGCTCTCTTGGGGCTCTTCTCATAGATTAACAAACAAAAACGGTCGGTTGGAGTTTTCTCAAGGCAGTAACTGAAAATCGTGAGTTTTTCACTTCTGATTTTGATTAAATTTCGCGTTATTCTCATTTAGATTTTTCTTCTTTTAGAAATGATTAGAAGTGTAGGCCACCCTTAACTTTTCTGTTAATATAAGGTTGTGGGGATAGATCAGCTTAACCGTAGACAAGAAATAAACGCTTAAACATGAGAATACACTAAATAACTAATCTTCAAGCCGCTGCTAATTTAAGAATCAAAATTTGCAAGATTAAAACGATTTTTCACACATGCCGGCAAAAACTATGCGAAATCGTGATGCGAGTTGGTGAAAGTAACGCACTTCAGCTGGGTTCAAGTACAAGTACCCAACGTGTATACAATTTCTTTTCAAAAAACGAATAAATTTGATAACAACAACATTTCAATTTCTCTCAAAAACTTCTTGAAGCATACGACTTTTTTTCTGTTAAGTGCAAACAAAATAGCATAAGAGAAATAATTCAAGCGAATCAAAATAAAAATCAAATGACCCATTTACCAAAAAACCGGCTGAGGCTATACTCAACACAATAAACCGCATCTCCACTCGATATTTATTTGTTCAAAACATTAAGAAGCTGAAACTTCTAGGAAGCTGAGGAGCGAACACCACCACAAACACGGCAGACGCGCATTCAAATTTCACCCAAATGAACTGCGGCGGCTTACAAGCACGCAACGAGAAAGCGGAGAAACAAACAGAAGCAGCCGCAACCACAGCTGGAACTATGCGATAAGCACACCAACTACCGATAAAAAAGATACCAGAAAACAAAGCTTGAACAAACCAGTCAAGAAGAAGACACTAAAAGAATTCCCAGTTAAACGCTTTTTTATTTTATTTTGTACTTTTTTTCACCTCGCTCTTACAAGTTCACGTATTTTTAAGTTACTTAAGCAGCCCGCGGCTTGCTAGCGAGCGCAGTTGTATTGCGCCTGTGCTTACATCCAGTTAGCTCTTACACGAGTGCATTCCTACACAACAGAAACTCGCGTCACTCATTCGAAATCGCGTTCCAAGTCAAAACATGCAGTTTTACAAGATCACATTTATTTCGGGTAAGTTGATAGTGCTTCCAAGCTAAATCGTTCACTAAACTTGCATGCTTCCAGTGCTCATTGTCTTGCTTGCCATCGCCAGCGGAGAAGCCAAAAAACATAAGAAACACAGATCCTCGTACGGCGGCGCGCCTTCAAGTAAGACCAAAACCAAAACTAAATGGTCCACTTCCACCGATCTAGGACACAATGGCGCACAGCTCGCCACCGAGGAGCACGGCTACTATGTGAAACGCACCTTCCTGCCACTGAACGCTACGGCAACACCACGTAGTCCACCCTACTTGGGCATACCGATTGCTTGGTACGCTTGTGAAGGTGCCGCATGCACCAAAGCAAATACGGCGGCCATAAGCAGTAGCGCTGCGGTGTTACAAGAGGGTTTTCTTTGCGATGATGACTGCGTAGAACCGTACGAGCCCATCTGCGGTAAAACATCTAGTGAACTGGCTGTGTTCTACAATAAATGCAAGTTAAATGTGGCCAAGTGTCGTTCGCATGGATTGTGGTTGGATGTCGCCTATGAAGAGTGTCAGAAGACGCACACCAAAGCGGTGGCATATGCTGAGCGCAAATTCAAGACATCACCATATTTCAAAGACACCAAAACTATCGCGGTGCAGAAGAAAAAAGACAACGATAACTCATCTTCCGAGGAGGATGACGTTGTATTCGATGTGGCATTGCAGGCATTGGACAAAATAGGCCATCAAATCGCGGCCGCCGAAGCAGAAGCTTTGGACGAGGCCGCCACCACTAGCACAGTGGTGAAAAGTGAAGTTTCGCCCATTGCGAAGCCAGTTCAGGCGGATCGTATGCAGGAAAACGTCGCGATCATAAAACCCGTTAAGGAAATCAGCACAACCGCAAAGCCTATTAAAGCGAGCGTTGCACAAGCAGCAGTGGAGAATAATGTAAACAAACCTGTTGAGAGCGATCTCCTAAAGCCAACAGTTGATGTTGCTGTACCGGTGACTGGGAGTAATGTTGCCACCGTAGTTGTTAAGAAATAATTATGCGCAGGCATGGTTATGTGATATTTCTTTATCGATATTTTTAGAACGGTGTTGCACTACAAACATACCTACCATATACCTACATATAATATATTAGCGAATAAATATTTATTACTTTGAAACGAAGCTACAGACTTTATGAAGCTAAACTTCTATGCAATAAAGATGGTTTGAGGGAAGAGAAAAGTATTTTACGCCTTTAGCTTAGCTATTTTATTTAGGTTGTTATTTTTTTCATTTAGAACAGAGCAATAACAACAATGAAAAATTCTCGAAACAAATGAAATAAATAAAAATAAAATTGTCTATATCCATCAACCACCAATAATTGAGCAGTATGAGGTCAGTGAAAGCACGACGAAACTCAGGTATACTTTATAAACTCGAGGTTAAATACAAGAATTGTTTCGTCTAACGTGAAATCATCGACAGACACCGATCCATTAAACAACAAGACTCGAGAGAATGGCTTTAAAGTCGCCTGAATGTTGAATAACTACCTAACTCTATATAATGACATTTGAATATACCTCCAGGTTAGTCAGATTTAGTATGGACTTCTTCGAGATGGTTCATATTACAAAGAATTTCGGAAAAGGCGACTCCCAATCATTTCATTCCTCTAGCAGCCACTTCCATTATTCCATAAACAACTTTTTTCCACATAAAAACCTTCCAAGCCGTCCAAACCTGATGAAAAATAAGCTTAAGAAAACTACTTTATAATAGCAAAATTACCGGTTTTTACCATTATCCAGCCAGAAATGTATTTTTCTGGTGGACTATGTAACGTTTTTTGTTTTTTAGACATGTGGTTTTCAATGAGGCATTACTATTTCCAGAATTAATCTTTTTAACAGCTGTCACCTGATTTATATCAGTTACCATTTTATATCGAACAGAGGGACTTAGCAACAATTCTTGAAAATCGTACAAATTTGTTACCAAAATAATGTTTTGGTTAGCGCGACGTCGAATAGTGGATCGACACAATCGCCAAGCAGAGTCAGTAATTAGAGCGAACATGATTCAGTTTCACACAACATTTTCTCTAGTAGAGAGTATCTAAGGAGACCGGAATAAGTCCATCCATCATCGCGCGCAACATTGGAGCTCCATCCACTTTATGGAAGATTTTGCGGAAGCATCTTGGTTTGCGGACTTACAAAATAGAAGCCGAAACCATCACCCGAATTGCTGCAAAAGTGGTCGAAAATTGGGCCACTCGGCTAGAATTTTTTCGAGCCAGCCGCGGCAGTCACTAGCTCGAAATCCGTTTTAAAATATAAGGGCAAGCCCTTATCTTTATAATAAAGCTAAATTTTTGGCCATAACAGTAGATTATATATGTTTTATTTCTTCTTGAACACCACATTTCAAAAAAAATATCCTTCTTTGCGTTCTTATGTTACCCTCTTTAATAATTAACAATTACTTTTATTTTCAAAATATACTATTTCAAATATTTTTTCTGCAAAATTTTTGCAGTTAAATTTACTCACATGTTTGCACGCAAAAAACTGACATAATTGATTTGAAGTGAATAATAACCGAATATTTACTTGTGAATTCGGTTTTCAGAGCACTCATTTCCACTCGGTATTCATTTTGAAAAAAAAATCTGGAGTTTAAAAAGTAAAAGTGAAATATATTGTAGAACACCGAAAGTTGATTTGCTTAAAATTCACACGGAAGTGAATTACAGAATCTGCTTATGTATCTCTTTTAATTCTGTTTATAGACGTCCAAACATGACATCCAGCAACTGTTTTCAGCCTAGTACTTTCGTCGAGCCTGTATAAGTTCACCCTAAATCCTTTCTTTCAATTTTTCCTAATGTTTGTTATCAAAATTTGTTTCGTAATGAAAACTTCTCTGACTGCTAGAGCTTATTATAAAATATTATGTGTTGATATATTTTTCTTTAGTTTTTAAGCTAGTAAGCTCGTTGATGACTGAAATCATTTTCGGGATAAAATAAAGTAGAATTGCATATTTCATTAAGTAGTCTGTTCATCTAAGTGCATTCTTGCTGAGACTAATCTTTGACTCACATACTAGATCATCTCATTTTGGTGCTATACATTGACATCACCATTGAATCTTATGAGTTGTTTGAGTCTTCAGACTTCATTTACATAAAACATTTCAGTCCACAAAAGTTTCAAATCTGAGTAGTAGTCTACTGCTGCCTGCAGGTGGTGCTTCCATCAACAGAGAAGAGTTTTAGAAACGAAGACTCTGAGTCTAAAAAACACGTAAAAAGAGAATTTTTGCCAATTGTTGTTATTACCAAGAATTCTCTTGCCACTTAGAAGGTCCCACTACAGGTTTTAAGAAGTTTCCGACCGGCTGCTGAGGAATCTTTCATAGCGGAAACGCACTGAGAAGTTTGACGTTGACAACCTCGAAATTTTTACCACATTTTTGAACGAACTTTCAAATCAATTTGTTGTATGTTAGAAAATTTAGGACGGCTTTGAACGGCGAATGGTTTCGTTCAGTAACTCTGACGTTTCAAAATAAGCCAGGTTTGACGTTGCTTGTCGGATAAAAAATTTGTTTTATTTTCGGCGGTTTTTGAGGTAAAGACCCAAACAAGCAAACAAGTAAAACTCACATTTTCGAATTAAATTAAGTTGTCTCCTAGTTTTCAAAAAACAAAAAGTAAAAGTTCTTCCTGTACATTACGAAAGAAATACAATAACAATTAAACCCGTTTCTAACACTAGAAACCGCTACCTATCTCTCCTCTTCATATGTATAGATGTGGGTATACATGTAGAAAGCAGACAGAAACCTTTAAAAATGTTTAACTTTCTTTTACTCGTAATTGTCGGCGCCTTTTCGGCTCCATTTCATTAATTTGAAGAGTAAAGTTAATCATAATAAATAGTGAGCCACCGAAAGCAAAATCAGTTCCCCAGGCTATACAGAAGTCGGTAGAGTTTAGACAGTTGTAGCTAAGTACCACACAACTTTCTTTGATTGAGCATTCATTAAGGCTGCGTTATGCTGTGGCCGCCCACAATCCGCTAGTGTTCGACGTACATATGTATGTGAACTAAGGCACACGTTGATACATATATAGGGTGTTAATTTTATAGGTATATGATTTCAAAGCATTTCACAGATATTTTTTTTAAGCTATAGCTAGAAAAGTTTAAAGTGACATAGCTGTTAAACAGCTCGTTAAAGGGTGTTTTTTTTAGAATGAGAGAAAGTTCAGTAGGGCATGTCAAATCAGTTGTCGGGCTCATATATTTGATATATTGAGTATAAAAGTATGAGAAAATGATCAAGTAAACTCTTACAATGAAGCACTTTAAAAATCATGGAAAATTGCATCAAAAATTCGAGTTCTGTAAGATTAATTAAAAAAAAAAAGTTTATCGTTAACTGTTCTTCAGCGATCAGACACCTTTCCGGTGTAACGGGTACAGAAATAAGTTTTGTACGGTATTTAGAATGTGCAACAAATTGGAAAGTCTCTCCAAGCTGTCTGGATTCATAAAAAGTTAATATCTGACCTTTCTGGTAAATGAAAGTTCCATGCCTGCAAAAAAGCGCCCTTTACTTATAAGTAAGTATATACGCAAACAGTTAGGTTACGTGAGTGATTGTGCATTACCACCACCACAGAGTGATTTAAACATGATAGGGCGCTTTGATTGTTTCGATTATGTCTCGAGTGCGCCATAAGAGATCACTTCACATATTTAATGAGTAACTCATTAAAAGAATTTCTAACGCGAAGATGTTTAATATGTTGCGGCGCTCATTACGCGTTATTGAGGCCACTTCTATGGCTGCGAGAATTTGAAGGGTTATCGCAAAGAATTAAATTAGCTGCGAGACAAACGCACTTGCAGCCAATATGGGTAATGGTGTAGCCTAAAGTCTAAATATAATATATGTTTTTTGTTTATTGACATAGTTTTTGGGTTCTCCGAAGCGCTTGCTTTTAGGAAGTGAACGTCAACAAGGTAACGGTATAAAAGCCAACGCAAGGTCGGCGCAGTGATGCATTAACAGAATGGCTACACGAAAAATCACTACAGCAACACTATACCTCGGCTTGATATGTGTTGGTAAGTCGAATATGCGTGCGGCACTACTGCTACACGGGATTCTTAGCAGCAAAAGTGATTATTTTTTTTAACATTTCTAATTCCTTGCAGCGCACGCAGCCGCTTTAGAGCCCACATTGGTGGATGCCACCACCACGAGCGCGCCTGAAAGTGCCAGTATCAATACGAGCACAACAACAACATCGACAGTAACACCGCTCACTATTGTAGACAACACAATTAGAACCACCAACGAAACTCAGCTACAGAACGACGAGCCCATGGCGCGCCAGACTGTTGAAGAGGGTCGCGCGGTCACACCGATTGACACAAAAGAATTAGATGGACGTAGCGCCTACATAAACAATCAATATGTGGCTGATGAGGCACCGCTCTCATACAATGATACCTCGCCGCCGCTCTATCAATTTCTGCAGGAGCAAATGGAGCAAATACTTGCCTCGAGTTTGCCCGGTGAATATCGCTTGGAGAACAATGCCGCCAATAAAGAGAGTGGCGCCGTTGGCAAGGTGATGACGACCAATGGTTATGGTGTGCCAGCGCTACAAAACACCGTCAGCAGTCCCGTATTCGCTTATGGCGGCAGCAATTTTCAGGAGGAAGATGATGATTTGGTGGGCGCCTATAGTAAGGGATCGAATGATAAGTACTATCAAGGCACGGCGCCTACAAAGCCCAACACGCTGGAATTGCCAAAACCGATTAAAGTAAATAACGTTATAACGCGCCCAAAATTGACGCACACAGCGACAACAACCAGTACCACCACAACAGAGACACCGAAAGCACCGAGCTTGGGTGGCTATGGTGGCGGTCAGGTGTCATTATCAGCGGTTGCCGCAGCGCAACAGTACAAGCCACAAGTGTCCAACAATAACAACAATGGTTATGGCGCACAGTCTATGTCCAGCTACAAGCCACAAATTAAAGAAGAGTATTATTCGCCCAGCCCGAGCAAGTACACTTACGTGCGTCAAAATAGCACTGTGCATATGCGCAAGCGTCGCATCACATTCAAAACGGTGGCCTCGGCATCACAGATTATCTCCACGCCGTTGGCAGATTTGATGTTCAAGTACTCGATTGGTGTAGCGAAACCTTCGATGGCAGCCGGTGGCAACTCTTTGTACGAGCATGATGATCAGCCAGTACATAATTCCCCTTCAAGCGGTTATAATGACAATCTGGATCTGCCAAAGCATACCTATAGCGGTAAAATATCGTATAGCAGTCACAGCAAGAATTAAGTCGGTCCAACTTAGCGATTTTCTTACATATAAAATATTATTTATTGCATAAAGTAAAAATTTGAAGACACTATTAAACGAAGTGTGAATTATTCACAGTTGTTTTTATTTCCTGAACAGGTTAAATAAAGTTTACCACGAAGTTTGTAATACTCATAAAAAAGCGTTGGATACCCTATAATATTAGATTAGATTAGATAAGGATAGAGGCGATAGAGCCCTCCCCTAGGTCACAACGACTCATCTAGCCCCAGCATATTGATGAAATCCAATATACTGCTAGGTGTTAGTGAGGCGATGCGATTCCTGTTTGGAAACATGGATCCCAGGGTTTTGCTACTTTGCAGTCCACTAGCAGGTGTTCTGGGGTTTCCGACTTCATGTCACAGAACCGGCAATTTCCAGAAGAGACTAAGCCCATGTTAAATAAATGCTTGTTGAGCCTGCAATGTCCGGTGTAGAACGCGACAATAGCCGTAATTTATTTCTAGGGAGATTGTTTACAGTTTCAAACCGTCTGAGGTTATTATCCCCAATCAGCAACCTGGCATGGCGCATGCCTTGGAGATTTTGCCAATGTCTCTCCCTGTCTGCTCGTTTCTCTTTACGGAGCAGCTCTTTAATGGTGTGTGGACCAACCGCTATGTACGGTTCTGATCCTACCATTTTTGTGGAGGCTGCAGAGCGGGCCAACTCGTCAGCCAGTGGTCGCACATAAGCCAGATCGCTCAGATTGGACAGCTGCAAGGAATCTATTCAATGCAGACTCAATCAAGTGGGCACTGGCTTCCTTCTCGAGATACAAGTCACCAGGGGCCGACGGCATCTTCCCAGCACTTCTACAGCAAGGAGGGCAAGCTCTATTGCCGTTCCTTGTTGGGCTGATGAGGGATAGCCTTGCGTTGTCGTACATCCCATCAACGTGGAGAATAGCTAGGGTAATCTTCATACCTAAGGTAGGAAGGAAGGACTATTCACTAGCCAAATCCTTCAGGCCTATTAGTCTCACCTCCTTCATGCTAAAAGGTATGGAAAAGATTATAGACAACCATATAAGATCGAAAGCACTAAAAGTCGCACCTCTGCATGCAAATCAGCACGCGTACAGGGTAGGTAGGTCTACTAACACTGCTCTGTACCAATTAACGGCTGAGATCCAGAACTCGCTGGAGAATAATGAGGTTGCGATATGTGCTTTCCTAGACATTGAAGGTGCTTTTGATAATGCGTCTCACGCAAGCGTGATCAGGGCACTGGAGAAGAGGAACGTGGAAGCTCCTATATGCAGATGGATTAAGGCCGTACTGCACACTAGGATTGCAGAAACTACGGTGGGGGAGAGCAAGATACGTCTTGGTACTACGAGAGGCTGCCCCCAGGGTGGGGTATTGTCACCCCTTCTATGGAGCCTCGTAGTAGATGAACTCCTTGAGTTGCTAACGAACAATGGAATCCGGTGCCAGGGGTACGCCGACGACATCGTCATAGTGGCAAGAGGGAAATTTGAGAACACTCTCTGCGACATAGTCCAAAGGGGCCTAAACCTAGCAAAGGGATGGTGCGACACGGTAGGGCTAAACATTAACCCGTTAAAAACAACCGTCATCCCTTTCACAAAAAGAAGATCTCTTCCGGGCCTTAGAATACTATCCCTTGGGGGCAGAGAGCTAGAAGTGTCGAGGGAAGTAAAATACTTAGGCCTCACACTAGACTCCACCTTGCGGTGGAATAGGCACGTGGAGCTAACGCTTTCCAAGGCCACAAAGGCGCTCATGGTGTGCAGACGCCTCGCCGGCAGATCCTGGGGCTGCAAACCTAGTATCATCAGGTGGCTGTACACCATGATCGTGAGACCTATTGTTACTTATGGAGCGGTGGTTTGGGCATCGAAAGCAAAGCAGACTTCGATAGGCCTTCAGCTATCGAAGCTGCAGAGACTTGCCTGCGTCTTCGCCACTGGGGCAATGCGCACCTGCCCCACCGCAGCACTTGAGGTCATGCTAGAGCTCACACCACTCCATTTGGTTATCAATCAGACTGCGAAGCATACCATGCTGCTTATGACAGCAGAGGGGTATGGTAAAGGGAAGTTAATCTCGTCTCAACAAATGAGGGCCTTAGAAGATAACACGCCACTGGCCCTCCTTCCAAGAGACGGTATAACGAAGAGAGTAAACTTTACGAAAAAGTTTAAAGTTACTCTCGGCAGTAAGGCGAACTGGAGCGATTCCACACTTGACCAACTGCTGAGAGGTAGCACTATTCAGTGGTACACTGACGGCTCGAAAACACCAGAAGGAATTGGCGCTGGCATTGCGGGACCACACACCAAGCTTTCCATTCCCATGGGCAGTTTTCCAAGCATTTTTCAGGCAGAAGTATTTGCCATAAGTCAGTGCGCAGTAATAAATCTCCAACGCAACTATCGGAATAAGAGTATCGCAATACTCAGCGATAGCCAAGCGGCGCTAAAAGCGATATCGGCCTATTAGTGGAGGAGTGTATAGGAAGGCTTAACCGCCTAGCAGCTTGCAACCGTGTACACCTGATCTGGGTGCCGGGGCATAAAGGGATAGCCGGCAACGAGCTGGCAGACGAACTCGCCCGCTCTGCTGCGACTACAAGAATGATGGGGCCAGAACCATACATTGCGGTAGGGCCCCATACAATAAAAGAACTGCTCCGCACGGAGGAGAGATCGAGCAGAGACAGTCACTGGCAACAGACAGCAGGGATGCGTCAGGCCAAACTGCTACTGGGAGGGTTCAACCTAGCCAGGTTCAGAGCAATTATTAACCTCCCCAGAGACAAACTCCGTCTCCTTGTCGCGCTCTACACTGGGCACTGCAGGCTCAAGAAGCACCTATCAAACATGGGCTTAGCTTCTTGTGGCAACTGCCGATTCTGCGACATGGGACCGGAAACACCAGAACACCTAATCCTAGATTGCACCGAAATTTGTAGACGCAGGTTCAAGGCCCTCGGTTCCATTTTTGTGACCAGGGATCACATTGCCTCAATAGCACCCAGCAAGTATCTGGAGTTTTTCAGGGTGCTGGGACTTTGGGAATGCATGTGATGGAGGAGAGGGCACAATAGACCCTAGGTCGCAGTGCATACCTCATTTTCAAATCTAATTGTGGCTTGATAGGCTGTTCAGCCGTTCTATGCACTCCCGCACTAGTAGCGATTTGACCTCAAAAGCCGAGCTCCCTTTTAGTGCCGTCTGACTATCGCTGAGTATGCTGATACTCTTATTGCGATTGTTGCGTTGGAGGTTTATCTCTACACACCGACTTATAGCAAATACTTCCGCCTGAAAAATGCTAGGAAAACTTCCCATGGGAATGGAGAGCTTAGTGCGTGGTCCTACGACCACCTGCGAATATACTCGTATATGTTTATGTAAATGGTCAACGTTACGAGCTGAGTCAATTTATTAAAATCCGTTTGTCTGTTTATACTCGAACTAGGCGCTCACTTTTTGAGTTATCGATAAAAGAAATTTGTGCCCGTCTTTTTCACCTTAAAAACTACTAATTTATGGGAACCGCTGATATCGGACCACTATAGCATATAGCTACCATACAAAATGAACGATCAAAATCAAGTTCTTGTATGGAAACTTGTGTGAAGGATATTCTAGCTTCGGTGCATCCGAAGTTAACGTTTTTTCTTGTCTTTAAATCTTTAAGACCCCGTTTTTTCACAAACTCCTCGTATAAATCCTCTCTAACCTATGTATATAATAATTATATATATTTATTCTAAAATTTCTATTTAGGTTAAGTTGATCTTTTTTTTAGGCGAGCTGAAGTTCAGTTAGCGAAGCCAACATTTCTGTCTTATCGGACTCGTAGTTTTGTTTTGAGTGTGCTTGGATTTTGGAAAAATTAAAGAAAAGGAAAGTTATTCCAGTATTGTTTTTAGAGAAGAAATCGTGCAGTGATATTAAGATTAAAAGTGTTCGAAATATCATTACTTATCAAGATCATTACTTATAGAAAAATATATTGAAAAGCTGGCGACGCTACAGATGTCGCGTTTGCTCACACCGGATAACAAGTGCAACCGTGAGACCACTTCGCCTTAGTGTTCGAGGCTGTTAAAACGTAACCTACAGGAAATTTTCAATCGTTTCGTTATCGCCGAAACATGAATCCACACTACCGAAAGGACAATCCACCTGATGAACCTGTTCCGAAGACGACGATGGCCGTCCTATGCCTTCTGGAAACAGCCGGCTCTACGTAAGTGGAACTGATCCGCTTTATTATCTGGCAAGGGCTGTCTACTCGCCAGCATTTTTCAAAACTATTTAGTTCTCTGTTACAACAACAAGACTGACTGTCGTTTTCTGGGATTCATAAGGTTTAATCTATTGTACATGGACTACCTGTGGAAGGTGACAAGACTCTATTATGACGAATTATTGAACCAATTCGACGCCTAATTACCAAAAAGCGGCGCCATTTTAAAAAGATACTATTTAAAAAGAGTCTAAAATTCTTTTTTCATGTCTATACCAGTTACTACCGGCCTGTAATAATATATAAACAATTTTATTTTCATGCATATACAAATGTTTATTAGTCACACCTACATGCATAATATTATATTTAAAGCTGCCATCGATAATTTACAATATAAAAACAGTTCTTTTTAGTTACAGTTTGAGACACATTTCCTGGGGTGAATAATTAAAAATATTTGTATAACCTTTGTCTAAACGTTTCACGTTATAGATCAGTTCTAGTAGTTGCATATTTAAATAAGATTCAAAAACATCAATCAAACAAAAATAATTAATACAATAAACAACTGATTCGTAGATATTCGATACTACATTACATACATACATGCAGAAGTATATGTGGATGAATTTTAGCTGCTGCACGTGTGTATGTTTAAAAAATTCGTTCGAAAATGGTAAGTATCGAATATACATACAGCTATTTGAAGAATTTTCATGTTTTGCCAAATATCAGCAGTTGTCACACATTTATAAGTAACGAAAATCATATCGTTGATTTTTACTCAATGCAAAGGCCAAAACTTTAACGCTATTAAAGGCATAGTCACACCTGTCACAATGCTGGAAATCAAATTGACACTGTGATTGTCCAATATGCGTAAACCGCTGACATGTCGTACACCCACTCCAGGGCATTCGACAATTTTGCCTTCTTTATCGACACCCGAATACTGCATTGTAGCACCAAGCAATGAATCCAACAAAGAACCAAGCAGCCCAGCAACGCCGCCGAATATTATAATGGGCCACTGTGAAGGGCTAACTTGTAACGAGTGCTCTTCAACGGTATAACGTACGGTTATATAGTAGACGAACCCAACAAACAGACCACCAGCAAGACTAGCCACTAGGCCTGGTATAGAAACACCACCGTTAGTGCCGCGTGGCACACGGCGACGCGTTGTAATGAGAAATGGTTCCTTTTTGGAAAGCACGCTGCCGAATTCACTAGCCCATGTATCGCCATTACAGCAAGCGAAAGCGCCTGTCAAATATTATTTTAAATGCTAACTTTGACAGTAGATATTTATTCGTGTTTGCTTACTCATAACTGCAACGCCTAACCAGCTGGAGCGATACTCGTTTGTAAAGTCAATGGGACGCTCACAACTGCCGCAATCTATGAGATATAATAGGGCTAACTGTGTAGCCATGCCACCATTACACAACACCTGCACCCAGTTGCGTTGGCCTTCACCTGCGCATAGCAATTTTAAAATAATTTCGTTGAAATAAGTTGAACCGAACACTCACCTTCCTTGAAGTCCTTTTCGAACTTTCGTTTCAAATGCGCACGAAATTTGGTTGCACGTGATGAAGTAAAGAAAAATGCCGCCAAACTGGCGAAAAATGCATGGTTGGCGATGGATAAAATAAAGGAAAATATTATACCCAATGCGGCACCTGATTTGTTAACGGATTTCCTGCGTAGCGCTATTGTCATTAGCGTAAGCGGCGCTAATGTTGAGAAAAGCCAACGTGTCGGTGGTATGACGGGTGGTTCTACAATAGAAAATATAAAACTCGCAATTATTGCACACACACAAATATGGCAATGGGTGGTGGGTTCTGTTTAAACTGATTTATGTGTTGATTTACCTTCAAACTCATTAGAATGCCAAAATTTCGAAAAAGCCAAATTGCCCAGCCACATGAATAATGATAATGGAATGGAAAGACTGCAAAAGATCATCGGCAACCAGGCGTGGACATCCATCGTGATTAAGCAAACTTGAGTATTTAAGTCACTGAAAATAGAATGCAGACGAGCAAATGTGGGATAAGAGAAATTAACTTTCTTATTTTTATTTTTTAAAAGCTTTCACTTATGTGTGGTGATAAATGCGAATGTTGATAGCAAAACAAAATAAAAATAACACATTTTTGTTGTTGTTTTTTCTGAAATACGAAATGCAATCAACCCTGCCTTTAACGCAACACAGCACCCGAACTATTTAAGCAAATGTCAGAAGCAATAAAACGAGAAAAACACGTTAAGCAAATGAAAAGGCAGGCGACCGGTAATATTTCTTAGCAACGACAAACAATTATAACTTCCAGAAAGTTTCGTCAGAAATCGATTGGTAATAAAAAATAAATTTAGTGCAAAAGAAATAAAAATACAATACTAAAAATGGCAGATGGTGATAAGATTGAAGTACGAGATATTACGCGCATCGAACGTATTGGCGCGCATTCGCACATACGCGGTCTAGGCCTGGACGATGTGCTGGAAGCGCGTGCTGTTTCACAAGGCATGGTTGGACAGAAAGATGCACGTCGTGCCGCCGGTGTTGTAGTGCAAATGGTGCGTGAGGGCAAAATCGCTGGACGTTGCATATTGCTAGCAGGAGAACCGAGTACAGGCAAAACGGCAATTGCCGTTGGTATGGCACAGGCTTTGGGTACCGAGACGCCATTCACCAGCATGTCTGGTTCAGAGATATACTCGCTGGAGATGAGTAAAACTGAGGCATTATCACAGGCGCTACGCAAAAGTATTGGTGTGCGCATCAAGGAGGAAACCGAAATTATTGAGGGTGAAGTTGTGGAGATACAAATTGATCGACCAGCAACGGGTACCGGTCAAAAGATTGGAAAGGTATATTTACATATGTTTGCACTGTCTTATAACAATATAATCGTTTACGGTTTTTGTTTTTATAGGTTACTTTAAAAACGACTGAAATGGAGACAAATTACGATTTAGGCAATAAAATCATAGAGTGCTTCATGAAAGAAAAAATACAAGCGGGCGATGTTATTACGATCGATAAAGCTTCCGGTAAAGTTACAAAGTTGGGTCGTAGTTTCACGCGTGCGCGCGATTATGACGCCACCGGCGCACAGACACGTTTCGTGCAGTGTCCCGAAGGTGAATTGCAGAAGCGCAAAGAGGTCGTACACACTGTCACGCTGCATGAAATCGATGTCATCAACAGTCGCACACACGGCTTTCTAGCGCTCTTCTCCGGCGACACTGGCGAAATTAAACAAGAAATACGCGATCAGATCAACAATAAAGTACTGGAATGGCGTGAGGAGGGTAAAGCCGAAATTAATCCGGGCGTACTTTTCATCGATGAAGTACATATGCTAGATATTGAATGTTTCTCCTATCTGAATCGCGCTTTGGAGTCGGATATGGCACCCGTTGTCGTAATGGCCACAAATCGCGGCATTACACGCATACGCGGCACAAACTATCGCAGCCCGCATGGCATACCAATAGATTTATTGGATCGTATGATTATCATACGCACAGTGCCATATACCGAAAAAGAGATTAAAGAAATATTAAAAATACGTTGCGAAGAGGAAGATTGTCTAATGCATCCAGACGCTTTGACCATTTTGACACGCATTGCAACAGACACCAGTTTGCGTTATGCGATACAATTGATTACCACCGCAAATTTAGTGTGCCGACGACGCAAAGCGACCGAAGTAACCACCGAGGACGTCAAGAAAGTGTACTCATTGTTTTTGGATGAGAATCGTTCCAGTCAAATACTGAAGGAATATCAGGATGAATATATGTTTAATGAAATACAGGAGGTTAACGACTGTGAAGTTGAACCAAAACGTGAGGAGACAAGCGGTGGTGACGATCAGCCTATGGAACATTAATTATATCGTGGCTGGGCGTAAGGGAAGATAATGTTCAGTTCAATTGCATACACACCTACATTCGATCGATATTTTGCACTTTAATTGAAACAGAAACCATGTTATTTTTAACACTTTAATAATAAAAAATATATATACCTATTAATTATAACAACGTGACAATCGTTACACTTTAATACAACAACAAAAGTAAGTTCGTAAGGTGTAGTGTTGTGAATATATGTGAAAATATATAATTTTTTTAATACGTGTAAAATGCTCTTAAATTAAATTCAAAAAATTAAGTTCGTATAATAACTTGTGGAGGACATTGCACATTTAAGTATGTAAATAATATAATTATTATATATGCATGTGTTGTGTATATAATGAAGTAAATTTGTGTAAATTTAAATATTTTGCATTGTGTCTGCTGTACGCCACCTATAAAGGATAATTACATCATTATAAAGCGCAGCTTTTATATAATGCATTTGTACATACATATGTACCACAAATAGCCTTTTAAAGCTAGAAATATGTTTTAGTTGTTATTTACAACACAATATGTACAATGAAGTGTGCCTGAGTTTGCTATAAATTAAAATTAACTACTGACTAGAAGGCTGTAGTATATGTTGCTGCAAAATTACTAAAGCACACATTTTTGCAAGGGTCAAAACTAACAGCGCTTTAAGAAATATTAAGTTAAGTGTAAAAATATAACTTTTTTGCTTTATGTGATGATAATTATAAATACAGAAGTGAAAAATTAACTATGACGGCATTACAACTTCAAACGTTAGCGCCAAGCAGCTGTTTGTTTTTTTTTATTATTATTCTTTGATACACAATAGTCAATTTGGGTGCGACAAACTCTTTAAGATTTATAAAAAATATGTCTTTCACTTTTTAACAGCCTTTTTCACTTGCACAGTTAATACATAAGTGCTCTTAAAATATTAGTAGCTATATATTTTTACAATTTTAATATTAATCAACGGTTGGATTAAAAACGCCTAATTATTGTTAAGTACTTTTACTAATCTCGTTTGTTATGTGCGCCATCGTTGATTATTGGCGAAAGTGTTGTGGCACGACCGAAGGTTGAATCTTGTTCGCGTCGTTTTGCGGCACGTGCATAATATTTGTAAGTTTGATAAAAAATTGTCCAAACCAACACACCAATCAACACAAAATAATTGACGGCGCTATATGCCTTCATCCAACGCGAATAACTGAGCAATATGAAGGGTGTCATACACCAACCAATAACGAAGAGATCGTAGAGCTTTTGTACGAAATACTTAAGTGCAGGGTAAACAAATGGAGGACTAACAATATCCGCGTACATGTCAATATTGGTTTTCGCCCAGACGCTGGCAAACTAAGTAATAGAAACAAATAAAAGTTTGAGTAAAGCGTTTTTTTCTTTTTGAGTTTGCATCAATACTCACTTGTTTCTCCACCGTCACGGTCATATATTCATTGAGGAAAGCCATGTAGTAGCCACTGTGGAAGCCATGCCAGACCGCCAAGAAGCCCAAAGCCGCTGCATAACTAATCGTACGATTGTTAAGAAACTTAAGTCGTTTATAAACGTATTGACCGAGCCATTGATTTGTATTTATATTGAATGAGTGTACGTAATGCTGCATGGTGTAGCCTGTCTCCAATATTATCAGATTAACATTAGAGCAACCAGACCAATCGTGTTTGCCATTTTCCTGCTTGCCTGCATAGGATATGCCTGTTCGAATTTGAGAGTTATGACATAAATAAATTTTAATTTTTAGAATTACTCACCCAGAATTATGAGCGCACCCTCCGTTAGTAGCCAGCATGCAACATACCTGTAAATTGCCACTTTCGCCCATATGCCCAAATAGGCTAGACGCCAAAAATATGACACCTTCGCATAATCATCCGATAGAATATAAGAGTTGGGGAAGTATACAGCACCGATTTGACTAACAATTAAGTACACAAATCCTACTGACATACGCTTGAGGCCTGCCTCCAAGTTGCCATCGTGCTGCTTGAATTCACCTTCAATGAAACGCTTATAACGTCGATATGGAAATTGTGGTCCAATTAGAAAAGAACATGGTAAATAAGCGAATGCAAATAATTCGAGTGCTGAAGGTAGCTCTGCCAGAGCACACTCCTTTTGCTCTTTAGAAAGTTTGTCATGCTCTTTAAGACCATCTGCTAAATCAAAACCAAAGCCGATTAAACGCAGCACCAGCACACAATGCGGCATAGTCCAAAGTATGTCATATTCATCACTTTCTGTAAAATGGTAGCCAACAAGCAGATATGACATATGAAAAATGAAGTTTAAAATTTTAAATTCACGTGGGCAACTACGAAGTAAACGAGCCAGTATATACGTTGTAGTTATTGCTATTAGTGAATGATATGTGTCAACGCCAAAATTAAATAGGCAAATCAACAAACCGCAGATGACGAAATAAAGGTGATGCAGTTGTTTATTGGGTTGACGTACGACATGTTTGCGATATAAAATAGTAATACCGTAGCCTGAAAAATTAAAATATTATTCAAAAACAGCGTAAAAGATAAATATTTTAAATTTTTTACCTCCAAAAATGGAGAGCAACAAACGCAGCGCAGCTTCATTAACGCCAAGTGATTGCGCCAACTTCCCTATTAGGCCAAGCGCTGGCACCGCGACATCATCTAAGGACATATCTCAAGTTTCAAATAGCACTGCAATTACAAAATAAATTTGAACGAAAATGCACGCAACTTATTTGCAAGCATATAAGAAATGTATAAATATGCACAGCTCTTATCATTTATAAATATTATTTTTAAAGTCTGGAACATACAATGTGAAACAAAGTGTAATTTCTAACTTCGCTATATCTATTGCGAATAATTTTATTAAAACAACGTCGCTTTGTAACGAACACAAAATATGTAATTTATAACTTCGTAATAAAAGTATATATTGCATGAGTACATAAATAAATGTTACTAAAAAAACAAAGATCAATATGACATATTAACATACTGACCCATTGGCGGACAAAACCAATTATAGTACAAGCTCTCGTACTATGAACCTTAACTAAACCTTTTGCAACATTTAACCGGATTGTATAATAATAATATAACCGCTTATATGTATGCAGATTAGCAGATTTAGGTATAGTACATGAAAAATAAAAACAAAGATTATACTTGTGTTTGCGCGCTGCACAATGGCAAAACGCCAAGCGAAGTCACCTTAGAAAATGTAGATTTATAGATACAATAAAAAATATCGGCTGATCAAAGTGAGATTGCTACAAAAACAAACGTACAAAAACAACAATTACGATAATAGGATATGTATATATAAATCTTTTAATTATAAATTAAAAACGCATTAGCATACTTTAACACACACATTTTTATTTATAAATGTTATTGATTATAGATTGTATGTTTGTACATCACTTAAAACATACAAAGACGCACAACGAAAGCTGAATAAATGACACTACCTCAAGCGAAGTGCGATTATTTTTGCGCTAGGAGAAAAGCCACTAAACGATTAAAAAATGTATTTAACACATTTGAGGGAAGTAACTGATAGATTGACAAAAATAGATTACAAAAAAAATATTTGCAAAATTAGATTGCGTACGTGTGTATATGTATTTGAGCATGGTATATACATATATAACCTGCATATGATAAGCTATAACGAACAAAGCATACACGACTAACATTTTGAACAAATCATATTGGTTTTCACTAACGTGTGTGTATGTTTTTGTGGCAGTTAGCCATATTATTGACTAAAAGTAGTAAATAAAGTTTTTACTCTACTTCAAATTTATATTCGTATTTATTATACTGATTACGTCAAATGCTTTGTAAATAAGGTCATTCCATCTTTGTTTACCTTGACTTTGTTATGATTTTGGTCAGTGTCCTTCCCAAAGACGTTTCAGAATTGGTACTATTTAACCACTGGCTAACAGAGGCAGACTTATATTTGTTATGAATACGCTCTTTTACACTACTCAGTATTGATTTTCAACATTTTGCCACTATTAATTTTGTTAACTTAAAAAACATATATATACAAATAGATATGAAAGAATACTGAAAAATATTCATCGAATCCCATCAAATGCAAAACACAATTGCTCATAAATATTCACAGCTGTTCGATTTTATTTGTTTACTACATTGTGAATGGTTTCCACGCAGAGTTGCTATGCGATTGCCTTTACCCGGACGTTACACGATCAAGAAATTGCTTAAATGTTGCAATCCACACACACTTTTCGAACTTGAAAATCTCCTTGATGTAAATTTTCTCATGCAAGTCAAGGGGCAAGTTGACGATCAAGTTTGAACAGCTGATCATATAGTTTTGCAAACAAATGACATGCGATTAAAATATGAATATTTTTGATATTAATATATAAGTATAATTTCGTGCAAAATTTTCAAGAATTTTAAACAGTTTCCATGACAATGGCATCTTGAAATTATTATTATTAAGTTGGTTCCAGCTTATGTCTGGGCTCTATTTAAATCCATTCTGACAAGTAGTTTAGTATTTACCAAGTAAGTCACGACTACTGCCACTCTAGTAATTTAACCGATAGTTGGTTTGCAGGGTCATTGTCCTCTCTATATATAAAATGGTTTAAAAATATAATAATTATTTAAATAAACGACTTTAGTATATATGACGATTAAAGTATTTTTATAGACGTTTTCGTATTGTTAACGGAAATAGTTTAATAACTTTTTTAATTTAAATTGTTTTGATTCTTTAATGTCTTGCAATTTATTGTGAACTCTGGCATTCCATTCATTCACAGTTACGTATTATAAATTCCAGCAATAAAAGATAATTACTTGCAGGAAAACAAATAAATGTACAATTAAAAGCAAAGTAGTTATTAAAAACATGCAGTGAGTTCATTAACAGAAAAAAGAGCTGAAAAGTCACAACAACAAAATTCAAATACATACTCTAGTAGAAACTACTATCCACTCAACTGACGTGTCAAAACAACTTGCACCAAAGCAACACAATTATACATTCACATTATAAATTAACAGTCGTATTGCATTGATTCCAACACAAACCTGGCGCATTCCGGCAACAGTATGCGGCGTAATAATTATCCGTATCAACCGCTTGACCAGACGGCAGGTCAAAGTGCATCACCACATGACGCGCTAGAAGAGGAGAACGAACGCGCTGCCGAGGAACTAAAGCATAAAATAGGTGCACTAAAGTCATTAACTATAGATATTGGTAATGAAGTTCGTTATCAGGACAAGTTATTACGTGGTATTGATGATGACATGGATAGAACGGGTGGGTTTCTTGGTAATACAATGGCGCGAGTGGTACGCTTAGGGAAGCACAGTGGTGGCCGTCATATGTGCTACATGTTTCTTTTTATATTGTTTGTATTTTTAATATTATACGTTGTCATTAAAATTAAGTGAATCGATTGCTGGGTTGAAATTATAATGAAAGGTTTAGTTTAATTATTACTAGAAACGAATGTGAAACTTTCAATGTGTTGTGAGCTATGTACATGCAGCCAAACTTCTTGCGACTGTTGAAAAAACGAGCTATTAACAACATTGCGACTACATATAATAGAATAAACTATTTTTGTAAACATAAAAAATATATATTTGTTAGATTTTTTAAATGTAAATAAAATCTAAAAGCATAACCTACAAACCAGTTACAAGTATTGTAAAATAATTTATGTTCCGTTATCATTACACTGCACGAGTTCTTAGCTTAATTGATTCGTCTCTCATAATTGAGGGGATTGTTCTTATCATTAAAAAAGTGGTGAGCCACCTACAAAATATTTGGACGCCATTTGCGCTACATATATTATAGTTTCATGGTAGCAACATTGGAGACAGCCGTTTGACATTATCTATGTTTGATAGGATGTCTTCATCTTTTTGCTGCGACGACTGAAGTCCTGCTCATCGCCATCCGAACTATCTGCCGCTGAAGCTTGATACTCTTGATTCAGTTGTTGATACTCGTTAGGGTCTATCACATAGCCTTTTTTTGCCTCCTCCAACATGCGAACTGTAAAAAACGAAAATGCATTTGAGTGTGTATATAAGTAGTTGATCCATTTTCGTTTAAGGGTAAAGTGTAAAATCTTCACAACAGCTATACTTACTTTGCTGTTCCAAAATTGCATTTTGTTTCTTGATATCTTCCACATCTTTTTGATTTGCTTGTATTTTTCGTCTCATTACTTGAATGCATTCTGTCGTTTTCTTCAATATTTGTGCACGACTGGCCTGCGGTGGGAGTTGCAAGTTACAATCAATTACACAATGTTTTGAAAAATTTCAGCATTATTACCTTTTCACCCTTAAGTGTTGGCACCGCTTCACGTAGGCTTGTAAAGCTCTCCTTTATATGGTCACGTCTTTTTCTTTCCAAAGCATTGTGGTGTGCACGTTTCTCTGCCTAAAAATTAAATAAAAAACTAACATATATTATGATTTCTTAAACAATTTTTATATGAAGACAATGCATTATCGTCGTAAATAAACAACTAAAACGGAGGAAAAACCTACCACCACTCCCCAACCCTATTGGAATAATTCGTGTATATATTTGTTGGTGTGCGTAAGCATGTGCTAGCAGCACGCGCTCGTCAACACACACGGCCACAAAATGACAAACACTTACCTGCGTAAAATTTTGTGTATTTGCATGCCTTGATGACTGTGCACCCGTATCAGAATCGTTATCATCCTATGAGTGAGAAAATGAACAGTACAAAGTATCATTAATAACAATTATAATGATTGTTTTGTTTAGCGAAACAGTTGTTGTTGCTATTTGTTGTGACAATTGATTCCTTACATCACTTTCAATGTCAATATCCCTTTCTTCATCGCTCATTATCATTGATGCGAGGCCAGAAGTGACTGTTAAACTTTATTAAAATAACGTTCTAATTTTATTTGCGCAAGACACAATTTTCAACAAAATATTTTGTATTATTTTTGCAAATATATCACAAATATTGATACGCACTTAAATCCGGGCCTCAAATTTTCATGCAAAAGCAAATGCGACACTCAAACAAACGAAAAACGTGCATGACAAAAAAGTAAAAATGAATGAGAATGATAAGAAAAGCAGAATGATAAATGAGTAATAAATGGAGTTGCCAAGTGACAAAGTTTATGTAATTGCGAAATTTTTTACGAAAGTATGGAAGATCTGTTTTGAAAGTAACTGAAAATTAGATTTGAACATTCTGTTATAATTTATTTATATGATTTGAACAAAAAAAAATATTTATGGCGCTAAATAACATGATTTTAATGTAGAATTCGAATGAAATATTGCTAGCATATGTTTTTAAAATATTTTTGTATATTATGCCGTTGCATGAGCTTAGAATTTAAGCCTTAAATCATAAAAGTAAATAGTTTATTATTATTTTATATGCTTGTTTCTTCTTCACGAATAGTTTACACTTATATTACTAAATATATTTACTTTAGTTGCATTTTATGGTTTCTGTCCATACAAATTAAGCGATTACTTTCACCCGAACTAGAAATTATAAACAATTTATAGCCGAAGTGCAAGCTATAAAACCTTAAGCATAAATAATTTTCGAAAGCATGCGAATTATGGTTGATGTTCTTCGTCAATTTTTTCGAACATTCCAAATAAGGGGATTTCGTAAAAGTGAACTATTTTATAGCAATAATATTTAAATTCCTAAAGTTCTATGCGCTTAGTAACCAAAAGCTTTTTAAGAGTAAGTTTCTTTGAAGCTTCATAACTTTGTGGTTGCGGGCTGTACCATATTAAGGGCATTCAGATCTTAAACAGGATGTGTGAGAAATTCACAAGAGCTTTGGCCTTTTCGCCAGAGAACGTATATCATATAATATATAATATACGTTCTCTGTTTTCACTTTGAAACCAAACATTCTTTTTGTTGCTTTTGTGGCGGCAGAAAAGAGTGAGTTTCTTTGACGCTTCATGGCTTTGCGGTTGCGAGTTTTATTGTAGCTATTTGAAACATACGCATCATAAAGTGGGTCAGTGGAGAAACTTAAAGAAGTCAATAATTAACCAAAAGACAAGAGTTAGAGTTAGAGTCTTAAACTGTCTTTCATCTTAACGAATCTTTATTATTAGTCTTATATTACTTATGTCCATACTAAGAAGTTATTAGGCTATCTAAATAAAAGAGAAACGCGCGGTTTGTATATAAAGTCATCATTACAGATTTAAAATAAATAGCATTCACGTTACTAAATATTCGAGCCTTCAATCCAATCTTTTTTCTTAGTGATGGAATATGTCGATTTTAGCTTCGCAGTCGTCTGTGTGGTTTTGTACGAGTTTAATAATAAGATCTAATGTGTTATTGAGCTTAAATTGTTTTTGTGTTGGTACCAAATGATTCTAAATTTTAAGAAGTGCAGTTAGCCCATCTTCATACCTACTGAAAATTATCCTGAGCTAGCCGAAAGTGAGAAAGAATTTATACTTTAGTGCTTCCGACCAGAGTAATTGATCGTTTGTAGATTTACGAATTGGTATTGCTGAAGGTGATTGTGGTCATATTAATCATATAAGTTCAACCAGCATAAACGTTTTCGATCAATTCTCAAGTTATGTATGGTCGTCGATAGCTAAAGTTGTCTGGAACAAGGCAAAGTAGAAATATCTCGACATTTTCTTCTCGGGTATCCATAATTCACCAGACTGAAGTTGAAACTTATTGGATGCTATGCCTTCGGTCATCCGGACGTTTTTTTTTTTTTTTTGTTTTTTATCGGATTTATTCGCCGCAAGGCTCAAACACTTCGTCGATACTTCAAGGTCACTTGATTCGAAGCTAAGGATTTTTGATATCACAAAAGGCCGGTATTTCAACTATACAATACAAGTGTTGGTGTACATTTCAATAATAGAAATTATACAGTTCAAAAATAAAAATGCTGGGGGTTTTCAATAACTACAACTGCTTTAAGGGGTAATTTCCACTTGCGAATTGCATATAGATATATTGAATGTATAAACATATTGTATATTTTAGAATATTTTCAGAAAACTTGAGGTCGAGCCAACAAATAGTTTCGGTGATATGAGTGTATTTATATGAATACTTCAACTTAGTATAATCGGCTCGCAAAACCTTAAACGCGCTCTCGCAACGCTTTTTTCAGAGAGAGAGAGAGAGAGAGAGAGAGAGAGAGAGAGAGAAAGAGGAGAGGAGAGGAGATTTGTCCGAAGCGGCTGGACATTTTTTGAAATGTCACAAAAAAAGCCACATGTTTTTGGGGAGCCGCCATTTTGTCAATAAGAAAATTTTGACCAGTCCTTCGATCATTACCTGTATTTATCTATCGTAATAATAGTTTTTTTTTATTTTGAGATAATTTTAAGCAGAAAAATCTTCCTCACCGCCAGACACCCTTTTTCAGAGATCTTATTGAAGATCGGCTACGGGATCAGGGGAATCCAAAATCGTCGTTTTTTAAAGTTAATTAAATTCTGCAAATGTAAAATTTCATATTTATTTATTAAATAAAGTACATTTTTAAAAATTATAACTCACAAACAAAATCGTTTTACCGGGACATATATACCTCAAAATTTCCTAGGTTTGTTCTGTGAGGATGTCTTCTCTCTCGTTGACCAATGAAAACAGACTCCAACTTGATACTACATTCGTAGTTTCAGAGCCACCACTAACGGTATCGTTTAGGAATTTATTTCTATGTACTAATCTAATTGAAGTCTTTATTATACGGCGATGTCAGAGGCCAACCAAACTCGAAGGCTTCTGGGACCTCTGCACCAGATATTATGTGTACAAAATGTTGTCTAGAGGAGAACTTTTACAGTTAATGTTAAAATGCACCCCTGCAACATGTGCTGAATCTGTCTGCGCGGTTACCCCTGCAAATAACAGTGGATAAAGAGCCGCTTAACATTAGCTGAATACTTTTAGGCGCAAAGCAAATTTCTTAATAACATTTCGATGCTGCCGAGAGCGCGCGAAATGATTTAAAAATCGTTGACTGGGAATCGTGACAGACATTCAGATGCGTCTAAAGCAGCAATATAGGTGAGCGACAGCACATGCGAGCATTTGAGCTTAGCCTCTGATTGAAACCGATGTGATGGGACAGCTGCTGCCTAGACGTGCTTAGCTATAAATACAACGCTGAGCAGGTATGAAGGTACGTGTGGAGATAACGACGCAGTCTTTTCACGGTGTTAACTTGCATTAGATAGCACGGTTAATAGAGACGCGCTGAGCCAAAGCGGGTTAGTAGCGTCAGGTGAAAATGGTGCTTGCTTCGTATGTTGAGCTGGAATCGTTCGTGACGTCTATATTTTTTGGTGATGAGTTTTGTACCGAGTGTGTCCTTCAGTCACAGCGACAGCGACGGTGTTGTTAACGGCGTCGGTAGAGGCAAAAGCGTGGAAGGTACAATTAGACAAGCAAATAAATGGGACAAGCGAACATACAAAACAAAAAAATAAAAATAAAGAAGAACAAAACAAGAGGAAAGCGCAAATAAACAAATACTTCAAATACGGGCAAGTGTGGTGGCAGCCGCGCAGTCAAAAAAATTACTACGGAGACCTCACGTACATAGGTATATATGTATAAAGGAGAATTGCTAGCGATAGATATATGCGTCCAAGTGGCCATAAAAGCGA